TCAGCCGTGCTAGGTTTCAGATGACAGGGAGATTTGTTGGTAGTTGGGGAGGGGATGCTTGTTGCGGTTCGAGGAAAACTGCAAGGGGTGCGTAGCGAAACTTCTTCCCAACAAGTCGGAACTTCGTCGCACACGAAAGGGAATGAAACGAGTTGGATATTTTGCCTGCAACCAACATTTGTGAGACACGTGGTGACATACGACGTGTTGGATCCAGGACACCAGCAAATAACGGCTGGATGGGGAAATTGGTGGGAATTCCACCGTGTTTGGCGAAGTCTGAGGTTGGGGCATGCGACACGGTCGCCAGGTACAGTTTGTTGGCCCTGTTTCGCGCGCGAGCTACACTGTTGACAACCCACCGTTGAGCGACAGAATTTCAAGAATTTCGTGAACAGCTTCGAAATAGTAACCCCCCCCCGCAACGCACCCACGAAAACGCGCGAAAGCCATACAATTGGACAAATGTGGTCGCTTCGGAAACCAAAACGCAAGCGCCACTTCGCAACGTTTCCCGCACACACTAAAGATGGTTTCCCACAGACGTTACCTTCGCTGCAGCGCCAAGATGCTGTCCTATGTACAAAACCTGCCTGTGCACCACAACTCAGATCCAGCTCGTTAGCAAGCATCCGAATCTAGGGACTCTCTCACATGCTTGGAGCAATTACCGTTTCTAGCGTTCGTCGACCATGGCTTAAGGTGACGACCATGCGATCTGGCGCTACTTTGACGTTCCCAAAGGGGGGAAGTCAGATTCTAAGATCCTTAAGCGTTGCACCTTTTGTGATGCTGTTCAGCCGTTCACAGTTTTCCGTGCCCAATCTCATCTTCTTGGTGACGGCAACGGTGTGGCAGCTTGCAAGAAAGTCACGGTCGAAGCAAAAGCAAGTATTCAAGAGCATCTTATGCAGAAAAAGCGAACTTCACAGTCGCGTGACCGTGCAGCAAGTCGCACTCTAGCCGCATTCTCGAATCTGACCGAGAGTAGTTTGGTTAGTTCTAGGAACGAGTCTACCAGCAGCGACGGACGTAAGCGGCAGAAGACTCTTCCGGAATGCCGCCCTGCAGTAGGTGACATTAAGAGCGCGCAGCAGGCCATAGCTATTTTTTTCCACGTGTGCCGTATCCCTGCTCATGTGGCAGAACACGCGGCATTCAAGCATATGATCAGAACAGTGGGCGCTGCCGGTCCTGGTTTCCATCCCCCGGGACGCAAGCTCATCATGGGCCGGCTTCTGCAGGAGTGCAAGTCAAATACGGAGACCGCTGTGAAGCCGATAATGGATTCATGGAGCGAAGTTGGCGTTTGTATCGCTACTGACGGATGGACGGACACTCAGGACTGCCCACAACTGAACTTCCTCGCGGTTAACACCTACGGCTCTGTGTTCCTCTTTGGTGTTGATTGCATGAGCGAGAAGAAGACTGGTGCCTTCATCGCTACACACTTGATGAGGCCAATCGAAATGGTGGGAGCAGACAACGTCGTCGGCTTGTTGATGGATGGTGCAAGCAACAATGTCAGCGCGGCTAACATAATCAAGCTCGAGTATCCGAAGATTCAGTTCATCCGATGTGCTGCTCACTCCTTGGATAATCTCATGAAAGACATTGGAGACCGTCCTTGGGCTGCAAATATCATCTCCAAGGGGCAGCAGTTGATTGATCTCCACTTTGAAGAACACTCAATGGATTACGAGCTTCTTCCGTGAGCGCAAGTCACTCGCGCTGCTGAAGCCCGCGGGGACTCGGTTCGGCACAAACTTCATCGCTTTGGAACGGCTGTTGGAGGTCCGGGGGCTACTTGATAGCATGGTGGGCAGCCAAGGGTGGAAGGATTATGCCAAGAAGAAGGAGAAGTTTATGTGGGCCCGAGAAGTCATCCGAGATGACGAATTCTGGGATGGGGTGGCCCGTGTGCTCGATGCCTTCAAGCCGATCTTTGTGCAGCTGAGGGAGGTTGATGGTACGCAAGAGGTCATGGGGAAGATGTATGATATGATGTTCCTGTTGGAGGACTCTGTGAAGGATGCATGCAAGGGGTTGCCGGAGGGAGAGAAGGAATGGGTGGCTGATGCGGTGCGGAACAGGTGGAACAACTCGATCAACTGCCCGTTGCACGTGGCTGGCCGTATCCTCTACCCCCCCAACCAGTTTGAAAAGATCCTCGGACCGGATTCGGAGTGTTCCGAGATCTTCAAAGCCTTCATCCGTGACTATTATAGGGGGGAATCTGTTATTGATGAAGATGGGGATACGCATCCCCTTGCCACGATTGTGGAGAGGGAGGTGCGGGCTTATATGAGAGGGGAAGGGGAACTTGGTGGGCAGAAGGCACGCCTCGAGCATGATCTCATTAAGAAGGGTAAGTTGGATCCCGCACAGTGGTGGGAATTCAATGGGTCCTCATGCCCCCACCTTTCAAAACTCGCCTCAAGGGTCCTCAAGCAATGCGTTTCGGCGTCCGCGTGCGAAACCAATTGGGCAGTTTGGGAGGCTATTCACACCACCCGCCGCAACCGACTTGGGCCAAGGAGGCTCGCCGATTTAGTTTACGTAACTCACAACTACAATATGGTGCGTAAGCTGAACGAGGAGTTCGAAAAGAGGATGCTACTTTCAGCGCTGACAACCGTTCACGAGAGCGTGGACCTTGACGATTATGAGCCCTTAGATGATCATGATGTTGAGGAAAGTTGTTACGAAGGTGATGGTGACGAGGTGGTGCCGAGTGAGTAGAATAGTCTCAGCCATGGTTTTGATTTTGTCCCTAGAAGCTCTGGTATTCTCTTTCTGTACTGTTTGACAGCACTGGAATGACGGACTCTTACTCCCCTCTAAATTTTTTTCCGGGCAGGTTGAATTTTTTTTCCAGCAGACCGTAAACGTAAAGCCATTTCAGGCCCACGTACGTAAACGTAACTTTACTACGTAAACTAGCGTAAACGTAAACCAGCGTAAACGTAAAGTGCCAACTTAGGGAGTGAGTAGGAGTAGTGAGTAGGAGGAGTGAGTAGGAGGAGTGAGTAGGAGGAGTGAGTAGGAGGAGTGAGTAGGAGGAGTGAGTAGGAGGAGTGAGTAGGAGGAGTGAGTAGGAGTGAGTAGGAGGAGTGAGTAGGAGGAGTGAGTAGGAGGAGTGAGTAGGAGGAGTGAGTAGTAGGAGTGAGTAGGAGGAGTGAGTAGGAGGAGTGAGTAGGAGGAGTGAGTAGGAGGAGTGAGTAGGAGTGAGTAGGAGTAGTGAGTAGGAGGAGTGAGTAGGAGGAGTGAGTAGGAGGAGTGAGTAGGAGGAGTGAGTAGGAGTGAGTAGGAGGAGTGAGTAGGAGGAGTGAGTAGGAGAAGTGAGTAGGAGTGAGTAGGAGGAGTGAGTAGGAGGAGTGAGTAGGAGTGAGTAGGAGTGAGTAGGAGGAGTGAGTAGGAGGAGTGAGTAGGAGGAGTGAGTAGGAGGAGTGAGTAGGAGGAGTGAGTAGGAGTGAGTAGGAGTGAGTAGGAGGAGTGAGTAGGAGGAGTGAGTAGGAGGAGTGAGTAGGAGGAGTGAGTAGGAGGAGTGAGTAGGAGGAGTGAGTAGGAGGAGTGAATAGGAGGAGTGAGTAGGAGGAGTGAGTAGGAGGAGTGAGTAGGAGTGTGTAGGAGTAGTGAGTAGGAGGTGTGAGTAGGAGGAGTGAGTAGGAGGAGTGAGTAGGAGGAGTGAGTAGGAGGAGTAGGAGGAGTAGGAGGAGTAGTAGCCTAGTAGGTAGGAGGAGTAAGTAAGAGGGAATAGTTGGAGTTTTTCTCTGTATTTTACACACCCACCTTGCGTGCACCGTAGCCACCAGTAGCGTAGTTGTGTGCTTTTTTTTTCGCCAAGAAAAAAAAAAAAAAAAAAAAAAGGGGCCTATTAAAAAAACGTCGTTTTTTTCAGAAAATCACCGTATTATACCATCGAAAAAAACGGCCTGCCGTTTTTTTCAACCTTGGACCCGAACCCGACTTATTGACGGGTCGGGTCGGTATTCCCAATGGGAAAACCCGACCCGACGGGTTAGGTTTTTTCTAGACGGGTCGGGTTGACCCGTACCCGACATGTCGGGTTTCGGGTCAACCCGACCCGAAGTCGGGTTGCGCGTCAACCCGACAGGATCTGCGCGACCAAAATCGCATAGATATGAAATTTCTATCATTTGGTCAAAATTTCAACCCGTAACTTCCTTGCTAAGCTTCGCCCTAGCCTAAGTCAACATCCTACCTAGTTCCTTGCAAAAACAGACGGCTACTTCAGCTAGAACTAGTGTTTCCTCCCTTCCTTAGGGTAAGAGATTGCCCAACGGGTTTAGGCTGATCTAGATCTTCTTTTGGATGGAATTGACTCAGCACACACCCTACTCAACTCAGAAAATCGCGAACACCCCCAACCCAAGCGAATTTTTGCCAGCACCCCCAACCCACACGTATTTTTGCCAACACCCCAAACCATGCGACTTTTCGCCAACACCCCCAACCCACACAAATTTCGCCAACGCCTCCAAACCACTCGAATTTTCGTCAGCACCCCAAACCAACTAAAATCTTGTAAGCACCCCCCAACCAACGATTTTCGCCAACACCCCCACCCCAAACACGAGGAATACGTAGCGGATCTTTAAATTAGGAGGAAAAAAGCTTGAAGTCGCTGCATAGATCATTATAACTTAGGCTGCTCTGGATGCCCTTTAAAAAAGGACGGGTCGCCGCACCCGTGGTCGGGTCGGGTCGACCCGACCCGACCGCGGGTCAGGTATGACCCAACCTGTTTTCGTCGGGTTGGGTTGGAAGAATCCTAGGGTCGATCCGACCTTGACCCGACCCGACCCGACCCGAACCCGATCACGTGTCAGCCAAGTCGGGTCGGGTCGGGTAGATGCTCAAGCCTAATTGCCATTTTGTTGAGTAATGAACAAACGAATCCTGATCATTACACATGCTTGTGAGTGCATCTTCTCCTTGTAAATCTTTTTTCCGTGCCATCTCCACATCCCCACTAGGAATCTCATTAACAATAAATTCACTGGATCCATTCCATCCACTATTGGACGTATGAGCAACTTGACGAACTTGTAAGTTTGGAAACAAGTACCTATGTCCTTGAGTATTACTTGGTTGAGTCGCTCCTGGAAGATGAGGCAAGTCGAGGAATACATGGTACTCCACTCCACTCGCACGTCCAGTAGTACTCAGCTTCATGAGTACTCCACTCCGTACTTGCGGGTTAAGATGGAATTTATGCTTACATGAATGTTGGTTTACGTTACGTTTAAGCTTACGTCACATTTACGATTTTCTAAATTCCCGTTTTTGTGTTCCGGGCTGAGTATTTTTTTTAGGCTGCCCAAGAGTTCCCCTTGTATAGAGATGGCTTTCCACTCATTTAACCAAACATCCAAATTAGTTTGTCACATCAGAAACTACCGTTTCTGGTGGACTCCCGATTGGTCCGAATTCGCAAGTGTTGGTTGCGTGTTGCGGGGAAATCGGTCGGCATGTCTGTAGAAAAGTAGACTCGATGTGCATAGCTGTAAGATGCACAAGTTGGAGATGGTAAAGATATGTTCCAAGAGGAGTCCCAGAAAGTGTAAGACAAAAGGGTAAATAAAGATGATAAAGATATTGGGCTCAGTAGGCCCAGATTGTGGTGAAGAGAGAGATGGAGAAGTGCTGGGCGACTTGGGCTGGTCCAGGTGAAGAGAATGGCACCCAAGAGACTTGGGGTGCCCAATTGGGTGCTCAAGTCGCCCACAGTCAAGGTGGGGACGTGAGAAACCCTCAAAGTGGGCCTGGAATCGCCCCCACTAGTGGAACCGCGATTCCACAAGTTGGATTCGTGGTTCCACAAGCTGGAGCTGCGTTTTCATGGTTGAGAAACGTGGGTCCAGGTTGGAGCCGCGTCCCAAATGTTGGGATGCGTGGTGAGGTACCCCAATTCGGATTTTGGGGTGCCTAGCCTTTGATAAAATCACTTGGGGGGCACCCTATTCCTAATATAACCCAACCACTAATGTCTACACCTAATATAATGTAACACATTACACAGAATAGAGAAATGTACTAAGTTGACTACATCCCAGATAAAAGCCTAAAACAGATACTCAACAACAATGTCACACTTTCTGACCAAGTCAAAAGTGTCATAGGTGCGACGGCATGATGATGTTGAGAAGGGTTCGTGACTCAGTAGTTAGACATAAAAAAAGAAGTCAACGCCTTCTTTTGAACACCTCCCCTTCCCGTGCTTGTCGAGCTACCATTCCCCATTCCCTTAGGAAATCCATTTGCGTCCGCCATTCAACTGCTGGTTTCCCCCCGCCCAGTAAAAGCACAAGTGCTCGCTGTGGCGTTTTTTAAATAATTCCTAGAATATATATTTTCCCATCCGTAAGTTACACGTAAAAAAAGCAAACGTAACGTAAACGTTGTTATAATATATTGTCTACTCTTTTAGCCTACATAGCCAATAAGTCTTGGGTAGTTATATGCATCGTATTATAGCTTGGGTATAGTTACCCTAGTTGGGGATGGGATCCCAAAGTTGGGTTCTCATCCTTGCCATTAATGGCCCTCAATTGGTTGAGTTCCCGATTATTGGCCACCCCCAATAACTCTGGCCACTCTGACCAACATTATTGGGGTTACCAATAAGTCGGTCAACCTCATTGGTGGGAAACCCCCCTCCCCACATTCTTATGTAAGGCCTTGTGCTCTCCTCCCTAATCAACATTTCTAAGTTCACCTTTTCTCACATGGTAATCAGAGCCTTATGGCTCACGCCCCTCCTTGTTGATCCTAGTTCCTACCCTTATGGCGCACAAATTTCTCCCCGTCTCCCTAGCGCCTCTCTCGCCATCCCCACATCTCTCCTAGCGTCTCTCCCGTCTGTCAACGTCGCCCCGTCCCGTCCATCCGCGCCGTCTGTCCAAGTCGGCCCGTCCCGTCCCTCCATGGCGTCCTTTCGCGTCGCCCAGTCCCATCCGTCCGCGTCGCCTCGTCCCATGTGTCCGCGTCGCCCTGTCCCGTCCATCCGCGCCCTCCATTCGCGTCGCCCCGTCCCATCCGTCTGCGTCGCGCTGTCCCGTCCGTCCGCGCCGTCCGTCCGCGTCGCTCCGTCCCGTTTGTCCGCGCTGTCCGTCCACGTCGCCCCATCCCGTCCGTCTGCCTCGCTCCGTCCCGTCCATCCGCGCCCTCCGTCCGTGCCACCCCGTCCCATCCGTCCGTTTCGCGCCGTCCGTCCGCGTTGCTCCGTCCCGTCCATCCGCACCCTCTGTTCGTGTCATCCCGTCCCATCCGTCCGCGCCGCGCCGTCCCGCGCCCTCTATTCGCGTCGCTCCGTTCCGTCCGTCTGCCTCGCGCCGTCCCGCCCGTCCTCCCCCTCTACGCTCCCCTACGCGGCTCCCAGCCCACCTTCCGCCCGTCCTCCCCCTCTCCCAGCCCACCTTCCGCCCATTGATGTCTTCTCCACTTGACCCTATGGAACGCGCTCGCGATGAAGGATCTCGGCGAACTCAAGAACTATCTTGGGATGGAAATCACGCGGGATGGTGAAGCCCAAACCATTACTCTCTCCCAAGAGTTCTATGTGAACAACGTCCTCAAGCGCTTCGACATGGACGAAGCCAAGTCAGTGGCTACGCCGCTTCCCCTGCAGCACGATCTGACTGTCCCGTCAGTTCCATCACGTGAGCCTTGTGATGCGGCTTATCCCGAGCTTGTTGGCTCACTCATGTATGCGATGATGTGCACAAGGCCCGACTTGGCCTATCCCATCAGCGTGCTCTCACGTTACGTTGCTGCTGGTCGTTACGCCAATCGCCACTGATCAGCTGCTAAGCATGTCCTTTGCTACCTTCAAGCCACCAAAGACTTTGTCCTCACTCTCAGTGGCACGTCCCCTCCTCACCTCGAGGGGTACAGTGACTCCTCATGGGCGGACGACCAAGCTGACCGACGCTCCTCCCAGGGGCTATTGCTTCACCCTTGTTAGTGGTGTCATTAGCCTGCGATCTACACGCTCATCGTCCGTCTCTTTGTCGTCCTGCGAAGCAGAGCTGTACGCAGGCACCATGGTAGCCCAAGAAGCCCGATGGCTTACCTACCTCATGGCTGAGCTCGGGTATCCTCAGCGGACCCCGACCCTATGGTGTGACAACGAGAGCACTATACACCTTACCAAAGACCTTGTCTTCCACCAACGGACGAAGCGTATCGAGCTTTGGCACTTCTTTATGTGCGAGTTGGTCCAGCGTGGCCAGTTGTGGGTGAAGCACATTTCTTCTTACTGCAACCTCGCAGACCTATTCACCAAGTCTCTTGGACGCCGTGACCACTACCGCCTCCTCCGTGCTATGGGTCTTGGCGTCCCGATGACTTCAGACGTTGCAGCCTAGGGGGTGTGTTGGAGATAGGCTGCAGTGTTGCACATTTGTGTGTTAGTCATTTGTTTGTTTAGGGTTAGGAATGTTTGTTAGGTTGGGTGTTCCCCAACCTATCCCAACCCAATCCATCCCAAATCCCCACGATTTGGGAGGATTCCCTTGGGATTCCCTTCGATTCCCCTTATCCCTTCCAACCCTCTCCTATGGTTAGTACTTCAGCTTGTTTGCCCTCTCTCATTTTAATCAATCAAAGTCCCGTTTTCTTACACCCCACGCCCACCCCGAGATTGGGTGTAGTTGAGGGAAGGGGAGTCAGTGAGGTTGAGTTCAGTCTCAGTTGCAAGAATCCAGGTGATGATATCTGCGGTGGGGACATGGAGGGAAAGGAGTTGGGTGTAGACAATTTTGTGAACAGCATATGCTTCGGTGAGGCCATCCATCAGGCGCCAGTTGAGGAGGGAGGGGTCGACACAAGCCCCGCGTTCGGTGAGGCGAGCAGCAGTGCCACTGGGACGACAAGTGAAGTCCGCGGCACTGGTGCAGGTGTCGAGTGTGATGGAGTGAAACTCGCGGTAGAGGGCATGGAGGGAGGCAAGGTCTTGGCGATCATAGGTCGACTGGAGTTCGGCCGGAGGAGGCCGGGTCCAGCGCACGTTTGAGGGAGGGGGGAAGGCAGGCGAAGATGATGCCGAGTGCCTTCATATCCGCAGTGCACCATGCCTCACTGCGGGCATCGAAGGTAGCAACAGCTGTGGCGTGACTCGTGAGTGAGCATAGCATCTGCGTGCTTTTGAACAAGGGCTAGGGCCACGTCATATTCTGCGACCAGGGCGATGTGAGCATCGAGGTTGCGGGTGTAGGTGTCTCGGGAGGTGGCGTAGGTAGCAATGCGAGTGGCGAAGGTGTGAGGGTCGTCGTGAGAGGGGAGGAGCAGGCGCTGTAGGGGCGGGCCCAGGCGGAGGGGGAGCAGCAGGGGGGGGGTCGCCAGGCGAGACAGGTTCGGTGGGCTGGAGGCCCGCAGGCTCGCGGAGGACTACCGTGGAGAGGCAGTAGCCCCTGACCCAAGTGGAGCGGAGAAGGATGTGCAGTTTGCGGGAGAACGAGTGCCAGTTGACTGCCGTTGTGGTGTTGACAAGCTCGAGCTTGTCGACGGAGCTTGTGTCAACGTTGACACTGTCGGTCGCCATGGTGGGGCGTTGCTGCTGCTGCCGCTGCTGCCGCCGACGCCGCTGCTGCTGCTGCCGCTACTGCTGCCGCTGCTGCTGCTGCTGCTACAGCTGCTGCTGCCGATGCTGCTGCCGCTGATGCCACCGCTGCTGCTTCCTCTGCTGCTGCCGTTGCTGACGCTGCTGCTGCTGCCGATGCTGCTTCCGCTGCTGCTGCCGCTGCTGCTGTCGCTGATGCCACTGCTGCTGCTTCCGCTGCTGCTGCCGTTGCTACCGCCGCTGCTGCTGTCGCCGCCGGCGCTGCAGACCTCGTGCTGCGCTGCTGCCGCTGATGCTGTCGCCACTGCTGCAGTTGCCACTGTCGTGGCTGGTACCGCCGCCGCTGCGGCTGCCGATGGCGCTGCTGACGGCGCGGCTGGTGCAGTTGCAGCCGCTGGCGCAGGGGGCGCTGAAGGAGACGCCGCGGCGAGCTGCTGGCAACGCTACGGTAGATGGCGCTGCGGGGTCGTTGTAGTAATCCGGACGAACGCCGCCGCCGCGTACGGCGTTCGCGAATGCAACGGGCGAAGGCGCAGAGGTGGCGCAGCGAAGGCGTCAAGCGAGGAAGCGTGCGGCGGGCGTCAGGCAGGCGGGAATAGCCGCGACGACGCGGCGAAGGGCGCACACAGGGAGGGGGCGTCGGGCGATGGGCCGCTGCGACGAGGGCCAGGAGGAGCGTCGGGCAGAATGCCGCGGCGACGAGGATGCGCGAGCGCCGCGACGAGGGAAGGCAGGGGCGTCGGGCGAAGTGCCGCCGCGACGAAATGACGCGAGCGTCGCGACGAGGGAGAGGAGGGGCATCGGGCGAACGCGCCGCGATGAAGGGCAGCGCAAGGCTGCGAGGGAGAGGGCGACGGGCGAATTCGCCGCGTCGAGCGAGCGCACCGTCCGAAATGTCAAAATTTCAGGACGGGCGGGAATTCCGCTTAGAGGGTTAAGGGCGCCGTGAAGGACTGGAGGAGGGCGCGGAAAAAAAACGGTAGGGGAGTGAACTAGGCTAGCGCGTAGGATGCACTAGTGGCGCGAGTTGCGTGGAGGAAGGGTATGAGCTAGCTTGGAATGCGCTAGGGAGGAGCGTGAGGTGGAGCGGGGAAATTCTCACAGGAGGGGATCGAAAAGCTCTGGTACCATGAAAGAAGATGAGTCGATAGATTGAGAGAGAGGATACGGGGCTTTGTACCTAGGTAGCCAATCCTAGGTCAAAGAGGGGTTGACCAACCCAACCATTATTGGGTGAACCAATAATGGTTGGGAAGGTTGACCACCAATTATAGGAGGGCCAATAATGTTGGGTTGGCCAACATTATTGGAACTCTCGAGAATTGGGTTCAAGGGTTGGTTGACCCAACCAACCCAAACCTTCATCTACACTACAACACTAACATACTACATGCTATAGATGTAGGATATATTGTAACAAACAGACCCTAGACAGCAACGTAGGGGGTAGAGGGAGGAGGAGCCTTTGTGCGTGTGGGGATGAGTTATGTTGAATGTGGTGGAGAGGAGGCTTGATTGTTGCCCCCATAAACTAAGTTATTTGGATTTCCTTGGCATGGAAAACAATTTGTTTCTATACTCCCCTCTATCTCCCCCCCCCCCTGCCTCTCAGATTTCTTTACCCCTGCCCAGGCAAAAAATATCTTCTGCCCGGGCAAGCGTATATCCAGCGTATACAAACCTCAACCCCCAGCGGTTGGCGTATAAACACTAGCATATTATACGCTAGCACAAATACGCTAAGCGCGTATATGGCAACATAACTGTACAGCTGAATGGGGTTGCGTGGGGAGAGCTTAGCGAACAATCCTTACAATCAGGCAAGGCACAAAACCATGTGATGTACTGAAAACAGTGCCTTGAAGGCTGGATATTTATGCCAAAACATGTCCTCATTGCTGGGTTGGTCACTAATGGCCTTGCGCCAGGGCCAGCTACGCTCGCAGTGTGCAAAATTGTTTTTTCTGCAGTTGAAAAGTTTCTCGTTTCTTACTAGTTTTTGGCACCCTAGTAAAAGTATTAAATTACTCAACCACATATGATACTAGCAGCCTCGACACATATTCGTCCCAGAGAATCCTTTTTGTATCCAACGCTTGCCGGCTTGTGATTTTCGTACGCTCCATTAATTAACTTGGTGACTCCCCATTCAATCAGAATTCGAGCTCGATGCATTATCATTCGGATAACATTAACATGACACAGAACACGGTGTCCTTGACCAGCTGGATTATGCTGGCCTCGATCGTTACGTGTGCACGGAGTTTGGAAGAGATGGCAAACAATAAGCATTTAAAGCCAAGAAACTTTGTTCTCAAAGAAATCTCAATCTGGCATACATCACTAGTCTGCTTTTCCTCACCATCTTCTCAAATAACATGCGCGTGCAACCTGTTCTGATGTACGCTCGCCCTTTTCATGCCCTCCGTTTTTCTCTCATCAGAGGCATTGCCATCAACAGCTTGACTGGCACAATCCCGGAATCTCTTTTCAGGCTTTCAAGTCTTGGTGGCTTGTGAGTGCTATTCCTTGTTGGGTTGCCAGGTAATCCACAAGAAGACTCTGGTTGCTCATTCTTGGCACTGCTGGACTTCATCTCTGGTTGGAAGTATCCATCCAGGTTTTGCCATGACTTGAGTCTTTTGACACTCACCTAAAGCCCTCAAAGTGGGCGTATGACATGTGGTTTGGCGGTCACGAGCCAGCCCCGGCTTGGCCAGTTTTACGAGGGCTTGCCCCTGGCTCATGAGCCAGCTCCTAGCCTCGCATAGGCGGCTCGATTGGCCATTTGGGGTTGGCGGACGGATCTTAGGGTTGTTCCCCCAATTAGAGTAGCTTGTGATGAGTGTTAGTGAGTTGGATGCACACAATGCATGACTATATTCATGGGCATCGAGGGGATGGGGGTGTGACTATAGAGGGGCGAGGGTGTGGGGCAGATGGGGCTGGTAAAGGAGTTAATAGAGAGGGGAGAGAGGGATAAATGTGGGGGGTAGGGGGAAGGGGGTGTGACTATACTGGGGGAGGAGGGGGTAGTGGAGATGGGGGCATGAGGGGGGGGGATGGGGGTGGGGGTGTCATTATAGAGGGGGAAAGGGTAGGGGAGACAAGGCGGGTAGAGGGGTGAATAATGGGGGGGGGGGGAAGGAAGGGTGGTATGTGAATAAAAGAGGTGTGGCAGGAGGCGGGGAGGGGGGGAGTGGGGGAGATGAGGCATGTAGGTAGGCATGAGCAACGGCCCGGCCTGGTCCGCCCCGGCTGTGGCCAGCTCAGGCCGAACCGGGCCGGGGTTTGGGCCAACTCTGGCATCAGCCTGGCCAGTGGCCCGTGGTTAGGTGTCGGGCCGGGGTTGGGCCGGGGGCAGGGCAGTTGGCCCTTCATCTGCGCATTTGGCTGCCGAAATGCTAGATCCATGCATTTCGGTGGGCAAAGTGCCCGATCCGCACATTTTACCCACCAAAAAGCCAGCATGACGCAGCATGGCCTCTCGACGGGCCGCCTAGCCGCCTGGCCCACAGGCCAAGGGCAGTTTGTCGTGTTCTGCCCTGTGAGGCCGCAGGCCAGCCCGGCCCGGCGGGACAGGCTCGGGCCGGCCCGCGTCGGGCCAAAATTCGGGCTCAGGAGGCTTGAGCCCATGTGTACATGGGCTTGGCTGAAAGAACTCAACTTTGGAGAGAAAACAATGAACCAAAAAGGGAGCCAAGAGGCTCTATAGTACAACCAAGAGGAGGGAAGCGTGGAGGACGAGGGGGAGAGTCTTGGTGAAGATATCGGCAAGATTGGCAGCAGAGTCAATCTTGCCCATCTGGAGGTGGCCGTCCTGAACGAGCTCGCGAATGAAGTAGTGGAGAAGCTCTATGTGCTTGGAGCGCCCGTGAAACATGGCATCCTTCATGAGGTGGACGGTGCTGGCGTTGTCGCACTAGATGGTGGGACAGCGCTGAGGGGCACCAAGCTCCTGAAGGAGGAAGGAAAGCCAACGAGCCTCCTGTGCGGCCATGGTGGCGGTGTACAGCTCTGCTTCGCAGGAGGAGAGAGCGATGGCGGAGGAGCGGGTGGAACGCTAGCGGATGAGGCCGCTGCCGAGAGAAAAGCCATAGCCTTGGGAGGAGCGGCGGTCGGGCCGAGAGTCAGCCCAAGAGGAGTCGGAGATCGAATATACGCGGAGGTGGACGAGGGCGAAACGTTAGAAACTTCTCTCTGTCAGTTCGTACCGAGGGGCGGTCGACCAGGCGGAAAGGAAGGTCCGCGTCTGCGAACAGCTCGACAAGAGCGTGGCGCAGACGCTCCTGCGTGACGCGACGGCCGAAAAACTGAGGGATCTGTCGTTGACCCGCCTCGACACCCCCACCCGAACCGCCCGTGCCCGCACCAGGGATGTCGGGGTAGGCGTCAGCGTGCTCCCACGGGTCTGGTCCGCACGGCACCCCCGGGTACCCCTTCGCCGGAAACTCCAACCCCGACTTCTTGTTGGCATCAATGAACAGGCGATACCAGATCTGGAGGTGAGGCATGTGGAATGTGCGCATGTGCTTCCACGCCGAACCAGTGCTGCTCTCACCCCAACCGATCGGCACCTCGCATACCTTGCGATCTGCAGGTTGAATGAGAACATATGCCTTGGAGCCCCACACACGAAGGGAGGAGACATCAGGCTTTTGTGACGTCCAAAGCTCGGTGGGAGTGGTGGAAGAGAGGATGGGGTGAGGGTACAGGTTAGTGAGGAGGGTGGCGTGAAGGAGGGCATAGCCCCACAAAGAAGGGGAGCAGGAGGCATGAACAAGGAGACATCGAGCAATCTTGGTGATCTCCTGAACACAACTCTTAGCCACGCCATTTTGCTAGGGGGAGTGGGGAAGGGTGACCAAGCCGGTGGTAGAGGAGGACGGCACGATGGGAGAGAGACCGACAGGAACAGGTGGACTCAGGGGGGAGGGGGGGAATGGTTGGGTTGGTAGGGGGGAGGGGAGGGGGGGATGTGAGGGGGGAGAATGGTGCGGGGGACTGTCTGGGCTAAGTGGAGGCGGTGGACCTTAAGGGTACAAAGGCGTGAGCGAGGACAAAAGGGAATATGGGAGAGGAGACGACTAGTGGGGTGATACAGGAGGCAATGGTTTGCGCGACCTGGGAAGACAGTAGTGATACCAGCTTGCTGCATGGATCTTTGGGAGAGGAGGCTAGTATGAAGGGAGGGGATGTGAAGACCAGTGACGGTACCTGAGGGGAAGAGGGGACAGGGGAGGGTGGAGGTGTGCCGGCAGGGGATGGAGAAACTGGTGTCAGCACCAAGGAGGGAAATCAGAACAAGGAGCGGATTAAGAGTACCAACGTCACGGAAGACTGTCTCAGTGGCTCCACTGTCAAGGACGAAGTCGAGGGTGGAGGGGAGGGAGGATGGGAGAGGAGGAGGGGGGGCACAGAGTACTGAAGGGCGGTTTCATTAGCAGCAGAGGGATACATGGAAGGTTCAGCAAAAGCAGGCTGACTAAGCAAACCAACAAAGTCAGAGGAAGGGAAGGGGGTCACACTGCCAGTAGCAGAGGGCGCAGGGGAGGTGCTAGAGAGATGAGCGGCTGAGGCAGCGCTCCCTGCAGTCCATGTGGGGAAAAACTCCTGCTGAGAGACTATAGGAGGAGCGAGAGGGAGCTGCGATTGGAGGGAAATCTGCTGCTGAATCTGCTGCATTTACTGCTGGAGCTAGGAAAGAAGATGCTGCTGCCCTTGCTGCTGCAACCCCTGCTGCTGCACCCCTTGCTGTTGCTGCTGCTGCTGCCCCTGTTGCTGCACCCCGGGCTGCTGCTGCTGCGGCTGCTGAGGGAGGGGAGAGGTGAGGGCCTGGTGGGCCTGGGCGGAGGAGCCGGGCTGATAGAGGGGACTTGTGCGAACCTCCTGGGGGGTGGGACGGGGAATGAGAGATGACCAGCGAGGAGGGGTGCCTTAGTTGCCATGGGCAAACCACTCATCACTAAGTACCTTGAAGCACATCTCAGTGGCATGAGTAGTCTGGGCACAGCACTGACCCCGAGTGGGGCCATAGCGAGGCAGATACTGACATGGGGGAAAGACGGCCGCTACACCACGTCGTGCACCACCACGACCTGCACCACCGCGCCCCACAGCTCCACTGCGACCACCACCACGCCCGCCGCCACGCCCACCCCTGCCACTGCGAGTCTGAGCCACTGCTGCGGAGGAGGACTGGCGGAGCAGGTCGGCCTCAGTGGTGATGATCCACTGAGCAACCTGGGTGGGGGAGTGGTGCTGGGAGAGCAGCTGCATATAGGCGAGCTTGTGGGCATCGAAGGCAGGAGTGAGGCCCTCGAGGAGGTGGCAGCAACTGCGTAACGGAAAGCCACGCCAAGCGCCGCGAGGTCGAGCACGCGGCGGGTGAAGGTTGCTGCCCCAGCAGTGGAGTCCATGGTGATGGAGTTGAAGTCCTTGATGAGAGAGTAAAGGGTGGCAACGTTCTGGCGATCAAAGAGATCAGTAAGGAGCTGCCAAAGGTGGGAGGAGGAGGTGGGAGCAAGCTCGCGCTTGAGGGAGGAGGGAATGGTGGTGAGGAGGATGGCGAGCGCCCGACGATCAGCGACACGCCACGCGGCGACGGCGGTAGTGTAGGTGCGCAGACTGGTGGTGTAGCTGGTGAGCTCTGCCTGGTACTCGGCATAGGTAGGGACTGCGACATCGTAGTCAGCCTTGGCGGCTTCGTAGAGTAGCTGCAGGCAGAGGTGCCCGGTGAGGCTGCTGCGGTAGGCGCGGATGGCAATCTCAGCGCCCTGTGGGTTGTTGACGTTGGGCGCGAAGGAAGGGGGGTCACAGGGGACTCTGGTGCATCTCCCGGGTCGGCGGGCTTAGGACCCGCGGGCTTGCTGGGCTGGGCAGGAGGAGGCGACTCTCCTCCTTGAAGACGATGGCTTTGAGGTTGTAGCCACCGACCGCCACCGAGGAGAGCAGCACCTCCACCGACTTGGCATAGGAGTGCCTGTTGGCGGCGTTGTTGTCGGGGAGGAGCTCGAGCGCGTCAACCGCGGCAAGGTCGACGGACCAGTCAGAGGACGCCATACCGGGGAGGAGGGATGGGGGGGGGGATGCGTGCCGATGCGGGCCGATGCGCGCCTTTGCGGGCCGATGCATGCCGCGCCGAGGGCAGCCCGGCCGAGCCCCGCTTGTTAGGCGCGGGCGCCGGGACTGCAAGAGGAGGAGGAGACGAAAGAGGGAGGTGGAGAGCGTGCGGGTGAGTGCGACGAGAGGTCGCGGCGAACGGACGTGCGGCAGGATGCGACGGGAGAACGCGCAGCAGGACGCGACGGGAGGACGCGCGGGCAGCCGTGACGGGAGGACGCACGGGCAGACACGACGGAAGGACGTGCGGGAGACGCGACAGGGGGAAGCAGAGGCTGACGCGACCAGAGAACGCGCGGGCAGACGCGACGGGAGGAAGTGCGGCCAGACGCGACGGGAGGACACGTGGGCAGACGCGGCGGGAGGACGCGCGGGCAGCCGCGACGAGAGGACGCGCGGGCAGCCGCGACGGGAGGATGCGCGGGCAGCCGTGACGGGAGGACGCTCAGGCAGACGCGATGGGAGGACGAGCTGGTTGCCGCGACGAGAGGGCGAGCGAGCAGACGCGGCAGGAGGATGCACGGGCAGCCGCGATGCGCAGGCAGACGCGACGGGAGGACGTGTGGGTAGCCGCGGTGGGAGGACGCGCGAGCAGCTGCGACGGGAGGACGCACGGGCAGCCGCGACGGGAGGACGCGCGAGCTGACGCGACGGGCGGACGCATGGGCAGCCGCGACGAGAGGACGCACGGGCAGCCGCGACGGGAGGACGTGCGGGCTGACGCGACGGGCAGATGTGCGGGAAGCCGCGACGGGAAGACGCGCGGGCAGCCGCGACGGAGGACGCACGGGCAGCTGCGACGGGAGGACGCGCGGGCAGACGCGAGGGGAGGACGCGCAGCCGCGATGGGAGGACGCGCGGGCAGCCGCAACGGGAGGACGCAACGGGAGGACGCAACGGGAGGGCGCACAAGAGGGCGCAACGGGAGCACAAGGCCGCAGTGCGCGTGGAGGGCGCGAAGGTAGCCTGCGGAAGGGGTAGGGCTTGAGGACGGGGAGAGAGGAGAGCCTAGTGGGAAGGCCGGGCTAGGTAGGAGGATCAAGTGAGGTGGCGTGAGCCATTAGCTCTGGATACCATAAAAGAACTCAACTTTGGAGAGAAAACAATGAACCAGAAAGGGAGCCAAGAGGCTCTATAGTACAACCAAGGAGCAAGGAAAGGTTGGAAGGGAAGGCATTCCTATTGGCTACAATAGTGGCCAATGGGAGAGGTAGCTTGGAAGGGAAGCAACCCCAAAGTGTGGTGCTTGCTGATCGGTGGAGCCTTGGGACCATTCGGTTGGAAAGTGCCAACCAACGGACCAAGGCCAAATCCAATCTTGACCAACCAAACAACAACCCCCCAATAACTTAGATGTCTACACCTCCTATTCTAGTCATGCATGTTGTATATAAGAATATATTACAACACTGGCCTGACCTGGGGCCTTCGCTCAACCCTACACGGTGTACGGGGTTTGAGTACAGTGGAGGGAAGAGAAGAAGGGGGGCATGTGGAAGAATTGGTGTGACCATACAAACGGTGTGTGGGGATGGGGGCATTGGGTCCAGGGGTGGGGGAAAGGGTATCCAGAAACACCCTCCCCATGCTCCCCATGCCTCCACCTCCACATCTGGATCTGCTGCCGACCTAGTCCAGCCACCCACCCTCCATCAGCTGCACACCCATGTGTTTCGCCAGCCATGACTTGAGAGTTATGCAGGTGCGAACCGGCTCATGACATGGGCGAGCTGGGACCTTAACGTGCAGAGCCATGTTGAGCTGTCAGCCTCGAATTGCCCGGCTAGGCTCGAATCACGCAGGCAGGCATTTCGCCTGTCAGAGTCGCACAGGCGGTCATGAACCGGGGGCAAAATAAATCAAAAACGGCCGAGCTTAGCCGGCTCGGCTCGTCAATAAGATGAGCTGAGTCGAGCCGAGCTTAGCCAGCTCAGCTCTGCGACCATGACTACTACCGGTCGGCGTGCAGCCGGTGGTTCTGCCATGTCATCAGGTTCCTCCAGGCTGAACGGGCTGCTGGCAGCAGAGGTGGCGGGGACGACAAGCAAGGAAATCGCGGGCCATCACCAGCGCGAAGGAATGGCAGATCCGTCCGGTCGCTGAATCAAGGCAATGCGGCAGACAGAAAGAAACTTGTGGATGCAGCGTCGTCTATTCAGGAGAATGCGGTGAAAAATCACCGCACAGCAATGCAAAAAAACGGTGGCACGGCGTAGTTAGAGTTATGCAACAGGGTGACGATTTGGGAATACGGAAGCACCAAGGTTTGAAATTGCCCACTGTACACTACCCATTGCGGGCCTATCACTTGTGTGTGCTAAGGTGTGTGTAGTAGGTTTACGAAAGTATACTAAGTTGATCTGTTAAACAGATCTGCCTTCAAACTGTGCTCAAAATCCAACCTGCACTGCACGGCTTGGTTTTTTAGTGATAAGCTGCAAACAGCTCCCGGGTTGCCAAGCCAGCTCGGCTTTGCTCGACACGAGCGGTGGCAATGCCGTTTACTCATGTCTACACTAAAAAACACTTTGATCTAGAGAAAACACATGTTTTGGCACTCTGTTTTCTTTTTCTACATTCTCTGTTCTCAAAATGCAGATATATGGACGGAAACAACCTGTCTGGCTCGATACCAGCGGCAATAGGCAGCCTTACATTTTTTACCGACTTGTGAGCCTCTTGATTTGAAGACTATATGATACCTACCTCGTTTCTTAGTCTCGTGATTTACTCATTTCAATTTGGCATCACACAGGTAAAAAATGAACATAGCGGTTAGCCTAACAATTGGAGGGAAAAATAATTCAAACCATTGCAGCGTTTGATGATATAATTGGTGTTCACCCACCTGAAGTGGGTGCAGTGCAGGGGCAGCAAAAATCGAATGTTGGTGTTTCTGTGCAACTATCTCCCCATACCTTGCGAGGGATGTTAATTCATGAAAGGCTCCTCATCATGCAAGGAATATCTCCCCATGCCTTTGTGGGTCTGTGGGAGGGAGGGAGATGTCACCTTTCACAGTGTGAGGTGATGTTAATCTAGGTGCCCTAGGTGTGAGAGTTCAGCTAAAGTTTTGCCCTGGATTTAAACAGAAACATCCCTCCTTTCTTTGGCTTCCTCGCTGAGTCGCCCACGATGACATCTAATGTGATTCCTGTTTCAGTACTCTCACTGCATGTGTGCCATCCACTTCCCTCATTAGATACCTTGCCAACAACTGCTTGAGTGGCACAATCCCTGAATCCATTGGCAAGCTCTCTACTCTTGGTATCTTGTGAGTTCAATTCTCAGATCCAGTTAGAAGCTATGCACGTGTAGGCGTACGTACGTTATGTGCTCTTTGAATGTACGCTTCATGTCCCAGAAATGGACAACAAAGAACGTAGTACAAACAGGGTTGGCAATAGTGCTGATGCTCAAGCTGTGTCAGCTTGAACACCTCGTCTCTCCTTGCACCTCTGGCCGCTGCCTCTTACCTCTTCCTTCTCGGAATGCAGATGTCTCAATGGAAACAAGCTCACTGGCTCGATACCAACAACGATAGGCAACCTTCGATATTTAACCGACTTGTGAGCCTTTTTTGTTGAGAAGGGCTTGATGTGCCTTACATAGTTCCATTTGCATTCATTCGTCCAAAATAGACTACTGTGCATTCGGGAAAGATGAAGCTGGTTGATAAATCTGTGTCGAATTTATTTAAGTCCATGGAGACCCGTGAATCCCTGTTTTGGCATACTTTCAGCCTATGGATCGCTGCGATGGTTCACAAGGTATGGTGATTGTAGTGTGGGGTGCTGTACATGTGGAGTGTTAGCAACACACGTGGTGAGCCGTTAGTAGGCGGAACGAGAACTTTGCTCCTCGTGAGCAAGCGGAGCCTCATTTTTGCTCAGCACAGTAGGCTGTTTCGTGAGCAAGCCGAAATTGCCTGAGATATGATACGCAGCACATGCCCTGTTAGAAGCACAGGCCCTGTTAGCAGCACAGGCCGTGTTTGTATGAGTGGTTCGCCGCTGCACCGACGTCGACACTCAAAAAGTCGATCATAGGGCAAAGTTTCGGGCGGAATAATGGGACAGATCTAAGCTGGCTAGGGTATAAGTAGGCTTGAGCATACTACCCGCCCGGGTCGGGTACCCGTTACCCGGATCCGCTTTTAGGGCGGGTCGTGTATCGGAAATCCTGAATATTACCCGGCGGGTCGGGTCCGGGTTACCCGGGCGGGTATTCAATATCCGCTACCCTAAATGATACCCGACACGTCGGGTAGCGGGTACCCGACCCGAAATCGGGTAGCGCGTCTACCCAACAGAAATAGCACGACATTGATCGCGCTGGTAAAGAAATTTCAGCAAGTTTTTAGGTTACGTACCTGCTAGGTCACGCAAAGCATTGTAGAGTGGCAGGGGTTGGATTTCGTTGATCCAGATGTATTCAGAGCGGTTGAATTGGAGGAAATTGGTTGGAATTCCAACCAATCGAATTTCCCCAATCAAATTTGCAACCCAACCTGAATCCAACCAACCGCACAGCACCACATTGGTTGGACTTCCAACCAGTTGACTCTGGGGGTCAAAGAATCAAACCCCCTAAAACCTCACACAACCCCATCCCAACTAGAAAACCCAACCAACTCCCCACTCAGGCCCCACTCACGCCCCACTCACCACACCAGAGCTGTTAAAGATTTGGCGCACCTCATACTCCCTCCCGCAACTGACGTTTTTTAAGCACTATCTAGGTCGTAGGTTTAGTAGCCCAACAGGGTAGGAAAACGCGGGTAATACTACCCGCTTTTCAAGGAAACCGGGTCGGGTATACCCGGACCCGCCAGGCGGGTATTAAATTACCCGCCCCCAAATTCCGAGTCCGGGTATTGGTCCTGGGCATGTTACCCGAATCGTACCCAACCCGAAAATACCCGTCCCGAAGTCGGGTATAGCAAAACCGGGTCGGGTCGGGTAAATACCCGGTTTTGCTCATGCCTAGGTTTAAGTGACGGTGGAACATACGGGAAAGATTAGGGTTGGAAGATGGAGGAAGAACGAATGGACAGAAGAACTGGGGAAGTAAGAACGTTTGGTTCAGCCAGAAAAGTCCAACCAGACTTGTTAGGCGGAATGTCGGAGGGTCAGTTTCACCGGCGGTGTCGGTTACCGATCTCGGTTCCGCCCAAGACTCGGACAAAACGCGCGTGACGTGTTGCACAAATTGCACTTAACATGTTCTTGTTCTGTTTTCGTTTGTTACCACTTTTTGGAGTGCAATTTTCTGTTTGAACTTTGAGCTGAAAAGCACCCTGCTCTCTGTTAGAATTAAGGACGGAGTCTAGGTGAACTTAGGAGCTAGAATTACTCAAAATAGAAATCCGAAATTCTGGACAGAAAAATCGTCTCCACAAGAAACGTCGTCGACAAAAAACTAGCCGTTGGAATGTCGCGAAACTCGGATATGTTGTAGCTCGTAATCTTAGCTACCGTTCCCAATTTGAATCACGTTGATTGATGGAGTATTCGCGACGCTACGTCTTTCGACGCATGGTGGGGTAAGCTGTAGGAGAAGGAAGAACTTAACTCAATATCAAACTTCAATCAAAGTTCAAGAATCTCACAAGGAATTAGACGAGCAAGAGAAAGGTTGGGATGGAAGAGAGGGATGAGAGGGAATGTCCTAAAAGAGTCCCCAACCAAGGAAACCCCATAAGCACAAAGTTCCCTCTCTATAGAAACTTCAATTTTGACCTTTGTCCCTTTCCAACCAATCCATCCAAGTTGGCCACCCTTGCCAACCTAGCTTGGTTGTTCCGAACCAATTTGCAGCTGCTACAATAAAGTGACAAATTTTCCCAACCCCAAAGGTCCCAAATCCATATTGAGTCACTCCACAACTTCACTTTGTAACCGCCGCAATTGTAACGTTAGCTCATGAACTTTGAATCTTCATAGCTTTCGCGTTCTTGCTCCGATTGAAGGGATTCTCGTTGCGTCGGAAAGATCTTCTCAAGATCTATCATCACAAAATACCTGCTCAAACAAAATAACACAAAACACATTCCCAAGCTCCAGAACACACCACACACAAATTCTTGCACACGTTGAAACCACACATGCAAGTTGAAAACATGGGATGGGAGGCAGACAGAATGTGATAGCATATGATGACATCACACAACACTCTCCTGCACTTCTCAGCTCCAATTTGTTTTTCCGCTGCGTTCTTGGGGCCCTAGCAAAGAGCCAGAGGCTATCGCCCTAAGACTAACAAGTGGTATCAGTGCTTGGTTTCAACTAAGTCTTTAAGAAGGGCTAGTAAAATTCCTGCATCATGCCTGACGAGCATGGTGAGGCGGGTGCGGGCTCCTCTGTGAGTGCAGGAGGCCTACAAGTGCAAGCTCTATTGTAGGGTTGAGCAAAACCGGGTAATTACCCGACCCGACCCGGTTTTGCAATACCCGACCTCGGGTCGGGTAATTTCGGGTCGGGTCCGGGTCGGGTAATATGCCCAGGACCCTTACCCGGACCCGGCCTTAGGGGCCGGGTAATACAATACCCGCCTGGCGGGTCCGGGTATACCCGACCCGGTTACCCTGAAAAGCGGGTAATACTACCCGCCACCTACTAGTGGACATCCTAAAGTTGGGCTAGGCTAGGTAGGGTTCCTGAAAACGCGACTCTCAAATGAGAGTCGCGTTTCCTGGGGGTCAAATTTTGACCACCCAACTTCCTCCCTTTCACCGCACTGAACTCCTCCCCGTCTACTAACTCCAATTTCCAACCAAACTCCCTCCCTTTCACCGCACTGAACTCCTCCCTGTCTACGAACTCCAACATTTCCAACAAAACTCCCTCCCTTTCACCGCACTGAACTCCTACCCATCTACAAACTCCAACCTCTCCTTCAACTCCCACCCAACTCCGTTCCTTTCACCGCACTGAACTCCTCCCCGTCTACAAACTCCAATTTCCAGCCAAACTCCCTCCCTTTCACCGCACTGAACTCCTCCCTGTCTACAAACTCCAACATTTCCAACAAAACTCCCTCCCTTTCACCGCACTGAACTCCTACCCATCTACAAACTCCAACATCTTCTCCAACTCCCACCCAACTCCCTCCCTTTCACCACACTTAACTCCTCCCCATCTACAAGCTCCAACTTCTCCTCACAAATGCTCCACTCGTCCCCCCTCACCTCCAAAACCGTTTTGCCGCAAAACCTAAAACACAGCGCGACTTACGCCCATGTCTAGGTGGAATACCCGACCTCGGGTATATTTTACCCGACCGGGTCGGGTACCCGTTACTCGACACGTCGGGTAGCATTTCGGGTAGCGGGTATTGATTCCCGGCCCGGGTAACCCGGACTCGACCCGCCGGGTAATTTTCAGGATTTCGGATACCCGACCTGCCCTAAAAGCGGGTCCGGGTACCGGGTACCCGACCTGGGCGGGTAGTTTGCTCAACCCTAGGTATAAGTGACGGTGGAACATATGGGAAAGATTAGGGTTGGAAGATGGAGGAAAAACGAATGGACAGAAGAACCAAGGAAGTAAGAACGTTTGGTTCAGCCAGAAAAGTCCAACCAGACTGAGGTCGTGTTCGGCGGAATGTCAGAGGGTCGCTTTCACCAACAGTGTCAGTTACCGAACTCGGTTCCGCCGAAGACTCGGACGAAACGCGCGTGATGCGTTACACGTGTCGCACTTTCCATTTCGACATGCTTATATCTTCTTGTTCTGTTTTCATTTGTAACCACTTTTTGGAGTGCAATTTTCTGTTTGAACTCTGAGCTGAAGAGCACCCGGCTCTCCTGCACTTCTCAGCTCCAGTTTGGTTTTTCCGCTGCGTTTTTGGGGCCCTAGCGAATAGCCAGAGGCTATCGCCCCAAGTCTCTAACACTGTTAGCAGCACAGGCCCTGTTAGCAGCACAGGCCCTGTTAGCAGTTCATTAATTGTTGTGTTGAAGAAAACTTAAACCTTTGAATTTATTCCTCCGTGGTTCGACCATAAATTGTTCCTTAGGTTGCTGCAATTGATCCACACTCGGCAGACTAGCAAAGCACACATAACGACAGGTTACGCAACTCGCCAGAAGTCACGACACACATGTATAACTGTGACTCACCCACAAACATGAACCACCCATATTGCAGGCGGCTTGGATCCAACTCTCTGTCTGGTTCCCTACCAGCATCACTCGGGAGCCTTCAACTCTTAACGGAAATGTATAACATCATTTTTTCTTCATATGCCATCCCATAATGATGAACTTTTCGAAGGAACTGAAGCATCTCGAAGTTGTTCCCTTTCTCAATCTCAGAAGCCTCTCCATGCACATCCTGTTTGCTGTGCTCTCATCAGGTATCTTGCCAACACCAACCTGACTGGCAGCATCCCTGCTTCCATTGGCAACCTCCAACAGCTTTCTGTGTTGTGAGCACCATTCTCCTTTAAGTGACATCAGAATCACCGAAAATGACATGACCCATGTGCTCTTGAAGAGAGTGCATTTATCCCTGTTAGGGGTGGATAGGGGCGAGGTTAAATGTACCCATTCTCATGAGACCAGGCATGATCAATGGTATTTCACCATGCATGGGGAGTTCTGCTACTGTGTTAAGGAATCAGCTTCGAAACTCTGCTTCAGAGGGATGCAGTCCCCAAGCGCATCAGTGGGCCTAGAGACCAAGTTGTAGTAGCCTAACGACACTGCCGTTTAAGTTTCTTGCATTGGCATTTGATTCTCTGGCTTTCGCTCTTGCAGGAATCTGAATGGGACTGCAGCCACATGCCCTCCTGACTTTTCTCAATGCGTGGCCACACAAAATCTTACAAGTGCATTTTGCCGCAAGTGCCCCTCCTTCTGCACCACTTGTGTCAAGGCAGCACCATGTGAGACGAAAAGAGCCATCCTCCCCCCCATGCCTTGTCTTTTCAACATGGGTTTCTACGCATTGGGTCTCACCCTTCAATGAGCCCGCATGTCCACTAGCCCGCCGCTTTCATCTTCATGCGAATATGTCAAAACGAGCATCGGCAATGCTGCTGCTCTATTTGGACGGCAGCCTGAACTGAATCAATACATGGCACATTGGATGCTTAATTGTGAGGATATCCCGATATCGAGCAACCCAACCATTGTAACCCACTGTTGTCTCCATCTCTTCTCTTTTCATGTCCATCCATCCCGCCTCTTGCCTCCTCCAGCGCCTCCCTCCCCATCTCCAGTGCCCGCCACGACACCCCCATCGACACCCCCGGAGTCCCCCTCACCATCCTCCTCTCTAGCATCCCTACCTTCACCTGATGCCTCCCAGTCTGGAGGCGGCCTGTCAGCAGCAGCCATTTCTGGCATTGCTGTGGCAGCTGTGGCTGCCGTGCTGTTGCTGTTGATTGGTGTGGTGATATGGCAGAAAGGCTACAAGAAAGAAGGAGCACAAGGAGAAGATATGGCAGTCAAGGAGGGAGAGGATGGAGCACTACATAGTGGTGATAATGGAGGTTAGAGTGATTGCCTTCCCTTCCCTCTCATCGCCTCGTTTTCCCACCTTGATCAAGATCTGGGCACGGCGCACTAGAGGGTGTGGGGTTAGAGGTTGGGGAAGGGAGGGAAAGCTGACTGGCGTATCCTTGTGGGGAGAGTACAGCAAGCAGAAGGGCTGGGCGTAGAGCCAAAGGCTTGAGTGGATTGAAAATTTTCTCTCTTCTCTCGGTCCGTGATTCCTCAAAGGTGAAAGGAAAAGAAAGCGCGTGACCACTGCTACCCTTTACATGCACCTATTCCACGACCATTCTCAATCTCCCATGATCATTCGACCAAGGGTATGTTGGGGCTTAGGGTGTGTTGTATTGGTCAGTTTGTTGGGGTTGGGGATGTCCGTTTTAACCTGGGTTGGAGGATCTCCGGCCACCTCTGCAAAAAGTGGGTCACGAGCTCGTCCTGCTCATTGACTGGCACTAGCCCCCAGAGCCCAATAAGGAAGATGTGATATTGAAAAGATTGCCATCGATTCATCGCGTTGACGTATATCTTCTTTCCAGGTTGTAAACTCGTATTAAATCCCAGGTGATGAATGTTCCTTGCTCACCACCCACACAGCTAGAATACTGAAATCTGTGCAAGTGTGCTGCACGTTTACCCATCAAACCAAGAGCAGGCCTGGCTGGCAGCGTCGCAGCCTCCCAATGCACCGAGTACTCCCTTGAGGAAGTCATGGCAGCCACGAGCAACTGGTCCGATGACAACAAGCTTAAATCGGGTGCCTTTGGAGATGTGTACAAGGGCGTGTCTCCAAGGGATGGCACCACCCTGTGGGCGGTCAAGCGAGCCAAACTGCTTGCTGCTGACTTCCAGGGAGAGGTGAGTCAGATCACCTATCCATCGCATTCTTTGACCATGGCACACATGGAAGCGAGATAACTCTTTGACATTCTAGAAACATGTGTACCTAGTGTGCTATTCCTACCCTCAACTAGGCTTTCAGGTGCGACATGCACCCATGCAGTCAAATGATTCAAGAGAACTTCTGATCCATTGTGGAGATCCCATCTCCTTTATGGCACATGCCTCAATCCCGTTCCACCGTGACATGTCTCCAATCCAGGTCCGACAAATGGCCGGCAAGAACCATCCCCACATTGTGCGGCTGCTCGGGTTCGCGGTTGGAGGGGACATGAGGACCAGGCCGGAGCAAGTCCTGATTTACGAGCTTGCCCCAAACGCTGACCTTGAATCGTGGATCAGTTCAAGTATGTAATTTTCCACAAGTCATATTCTTTGTTGCTTTCTCCAATCAAAGACGGGAAACTTACGGTGTGCCACTCATACTTCAAATCTTTGCAGAGGCGCCCTTCTATCTCAGCCTGAAGCAGCGGCTGGACATCCTCATCGGCATTGCACGTGGCTTAGATTACCTCCACAGCTTTGGCCTCGTGCATCGCGACATCAAACCCGCCAACATCCTCCTTGGGGAAAGCATGCAGGCGAGCACTTTCCTTCCGTATCACAGGAATGTAGCCACCTATGAAGTATGATGAGTGTGATAAGTTTCATCAAGTGTTGAAAGGTGTGCAAGGGAAAAGAGCCGTAGTACTTGGTGTGGCATTGGATGTAATGCACAAGTACCAGTGTGCGCGGAAATAGGGTGCATTTCGTGCCCAACAGATTCGGTTCATTCATGCCTTTCTTGGTTATGTCATCCACCAGGCCAAGATTGCGGACTTTGGGCTTGTGAGGGCAGTAGAGGGCTCAATAGTGGGCATTTCTCATGTCGTGGGCACACCCGGCTATGTGGATCCCGTCTACACTGTGACATCAAAGGCCACTACTGCCACTGATGTCTACAGGTGAGCTTGGAGTCACAGCAGCTGGTCTGGCTGCTGACTTGAGAGATGTTCATGGCGATCAGCAGTCCAACGCACCTCATGTGCATGTACACTTGCTAAGAAGTGAACCTAGGCACGAATGCATAATGTATCACTTTTTTAAAACGTCCGCATCTTATGCTTTTATTATCATGCACTTATCGTATCGCAATTTGACAATGTGCTTATCCCATCACATGTGAAACATATGGTCACGTGTCATGTATGTGTGGTACAACCACCCTAACTGCTGTCAACATTCCATCCCCTCGGTGCAGCTTCGGTGTGCTGATGCTTGTGGTCCTCACTGGGCGAAGCCCGAGCCCTATGGCTGATGGAGAGAGCAACCACATTTTGGCATGGGTAAGTCGCATCGTTTGGTAGCACCATGCACAAGGTACGACCATTGCACATACTACCACTGTTCAATACAGCACTACTCGAGCACCAACCCATAGATTGATGAATAACCTGCTTCTCAACTCAACCCATTCAAGCACTTGAACAGCCGCAAAGTGTCCCTCAGTCACCAGGTCAATCTTGCTCACGCCCTTCATCCTGTTCCCATCCCCACCCTCTGCACTCCTTCAGGTGGAGGCCTGCCTGGCGTCCGACAACCCGACCCGCCTCAAGGGCCTCAGCATGGACGCCCCTGATGATGCTGTGCTGCGCTTGGCCCAGCTGGCTCTCAGCTGCACTGTGGAGCGCACTGCCAGTCGCCCAAGCATGGAGGGCATTGCCAGTGAGCTGCAGGGTATCAGGAATGAAATGGCGGGGAAAGGGGAGCTGAGTGCAGCAGGTAAAGTGGATAAGCAAGCCCAGGAGATGAAGGGTGCAGTTTCCCATACTGCTGACCTGGAATTCGTTGACGACCTCCTGCAAGGAGAATCTTTCAAAGATCAGTCACCTATTTGAATAGAACTCCAGGAAGCTGTAGCCTACATAACTCAGGAATTGGTGAAGTTTTTATTGGATAAGCGGCTCTTTTCTAAGGGCGTTCTCCTACAGAGTTGGATCCTGCAAGGTTGGTTCCATCTCCTGAGCGGCAGTGTGGTGCAAGGGTCGAAAATGTGCATTTTAGTGCGGCTCGCTTTTGTCAAGTAGCAAGCGAAAAGTTTGCTTCAAGTGTGGGACTGCACCCCCTAAGAGATGATCCAGCAAAGATATTACAAATTATAATCTAACTAGCTTATGTTTGTTAACACACCCACTAGCCTAGATAGTGGCAGCTCATAGCAAGTCAAAGCAAACCAGGGCAGCACTACTACCGTGTTCGCCCAGATAGAAAACCCATGGGTCTTGTCCAATACCCCTTAAGAATGTGGATGTTTGTCTTATAATCGGAAGGATTAGGGGGTCTTAATTTTTTTATAAACGGATCTCATTTAAGTTGACAAAAAATGCATGTATAGTGTCCTAATACTGCCTCACGTCCATATCAAGTTGTGGGCCAATAGGAATGTTGCGATTCGGGCGCAATCATTACGGCATGTTGCGCTTGCGTGAAAATTGCTGCCTAAGCAATTTCTGGCAGCGAATTTTGGACCTTTCTTGGCCAGCGGCGGTAGCATTGCGGCAGCAAATTCTGAATACATGACCCAGGGAGGGTCTGATGTCATACCTATACAAAATCCATGTCTTATAATCAGAGTACCTGTATATAAGAAAACACCCGGATAATAGACCCTAGGGTCTTCTATTTGCCCGGATCTTCTATCGGGGCGTTTACGGGTCTGACCAATGAGACAAGGGCCACAAGGTTAGTCAGCAAGTGTAGGAAGACAAGCAAGTATAGAACAGCATGTACAAGCCGGTATAGCATAGATCAGGATACAAATAGGGGAGCGGTTACTAAGACTAGACCAAGCTGTTCACAAAACCGCTGATGGTCACGAGGCACTAGTGCCTTGGTGGAAGATATCAGCAGTGTTGGCCTATGAGGCCAACTATACTACCCAAGCCTAACCGCGCTGCTGCAACTCACGCAGCAGGAAGTACCGCAGCTGGATGTGCTTCGCCCTGCCCTCAAGTCGAACCTCCTGACACAAGAGGATCATGGCCCTGTTGTCAACAAACATGACCGAGGCAGACCTAGTCTGCTCACCTAAGTCGGTAAGCAAGAATATCAGCCAGCAGAGCTCCTGAGCGGTCCTAGCCCCAACGTAGATCTCTACCTCGCAACTGGACTGAGCTATAGAGGACAACCTACTAGACCTCCAAGAGATTACACTAGAACCCAAACAAAAACAGTAGCCATGTGAGAGCCTGAGCATCTCCAAGTCATTAGCCCACGACGTGTCTGTGTGTCCAGTGAGCACGAATGGCTACCGTCCTCTTAGCACAAGCCCCAGTCCTGATGTACTCGCCAGTTACCGCAGCACCTTCTTGGCAGCTGACCAGTGGACTGGTCGGTGCCTGCCTGTCGCAACAAAGCGAGCACGGATACTAAGAGGGTACGCTAGATCTGGTTGAGTGCAAGTTATCAGGTACATCAGGCACCCCACCAGCTCTGCGTATGGACCACTGGGCTCGGCCGGCTCAGCCAGAACAGAAGCAGAGAGCTTGTGGTCCACAAGCTGGGGGGTGGGCTTTGCTGAGGAGAACTGGAGACTGAACCTCTGAAGGATCTACTTCACCATATGGGACTAGGAGAGTGTGATAGTGCGAGCGGCACGATCACGAGACATCTCCAAGCCCACATAGCGCCTCAGCTCCCCCTGGTCAGTGCAGGTGTGTCTCCCAAGTAGCTCAACCTTCACTGAGGCCAGCGTGTCTCTGTCAGGAGTAGCAATGATGAGATCGTCTACGTACACTAGGATGTAGAACGGAGTCTGACCTGTACGGAGTGAGGGGTCAGCAAAAGACCGGAAGAGCTGCAGAGCAGCAAGTGTGGTGCGGAGCGTGTCGTGCCACTCACAAGGCGCCTGGCGTATACCGTAGACAGGGCGGTGCCGGCTCTTGTGGGTCCCTGATCGGAAGGACCCAGAGAAGCCTAGTGGGCGCCAGATGTAGATTTGCTCGTGCAGACTACCTTGCAGGAAGGTTGTGGAGAAGTCTAGTGAGTGGAGCTCGTTGTTACGCTACGCGGCTAGATGAAGGATTACCCGAAGAGTAGTCATCTTTGGGGTCGGGGAGAAGAAATGGAAGAAGTCCACACCCTCCCGCTGATTGAAGCCTCTAGCCATATAGCGCGCCTTGAACTTTGGCGGCTCTCCAGGTGCGCGCTTCACCCTGTAGATCTAGATGTCATCGACTACGTTCGCCCCACGTGGCGGAACTCCATCGACGTAAGTGCCTGTGGATCAGTAGGATGCCATCTCTGCCTCCATGGCTTGTAACCACTGGGCTGCCCAAGGCCCCGACACTGCCTCAGCGTAAGACCGCGAGATAGGGATGTCCAGGGCGTTCAAGTCACCCTCTGGTGATACAATCATGGCGTAGAGATGGGGTACAGCGGCAGCAAGGTAAGCCACCTCGTACAGCCTGTCCTCTATTACGTCATTGCCTTAGGCGGCAGGTACACCCCTGATGAACGGAGAACGGGCAGGGTCGGGGACTAGAGATGCAGCATATTCAAGGTGGTGGCTAGGAGCAAAGTCAGCAACGGCAGCAACAAGGGCAGAGACAATCTTAGGAGGAACGTTATGGTCAGTGATAAGTGACGCAAGCAAACGGGAGACAATTGGACGAGCAGTGCAAGTAGAGTCAATAGGAGGAGCAATGGACAGTGGGAGCGACGACTAGGGAGGTTATGGAAAAACGGGGACAGGAGGAGCATGGGAACAAAAGACCATAAGATGGACACTACCATGAGGAGAGATAGGACGAGCACCAGGGGGACGACGGACTCAGAGCGGAAGGACGGGGGACGGGGGACGAGGCACGGCGGGGGACAAGAATAGGGACGGAGGAGAGTGAGAGGGGAAACGAGCCGGAGACAGGGTCAGGCAAAGGGCAAGCACACTAGGAGGGACGGGTGGCCGGTCTGGGAAACTGGAGAAGAGGCCAAGGAGATGAAGGGCAGACTGGGGCTGCTGCTGCAGAGATGTCTGCTGCTGCTGCTGCTGCTGCCCGTCCTCTCCAGAACCTCCAGCCCCACCTTGGCTACCACATGTACACTCCGAAGCAGCACCCCCAGGACTAGCACCCCCTGACGCACCACCCCCAGAACCAGCATTCCCACAGTAAGCACCCCCAGAACCAGCACCCCTCGAGTCAGCACCCCCAGAATCAGCACCCCTAGAGCCCACTGCCCCCTAATGCTGCTTCTGCTACGGCCCCTGATACTGCTGCGGCGGCTGCGGCTGCTGCTGCTACTGCTGAGGCGAGGGGGGAGGCTACTAATTTGCTTGGGTTACCAGGCTTGGTGAGGGAGGCGCCGTAGGGACAGCAGGTGCACCCCCAGCGATGGGGCCCCGAGAGTCAGCAGACTCCCCAACGGGCCCAATCGAGGGGAATGGAGTGGCATGGGAGACACCAGACATGGCCGGGCAGGGTGAGAAGGGTGCGGCAGGCAGGGCAGGGGAGAGGAAGAGAGGAGGAGGAGGGACACGAGAACCACGTTGAGGGAAGGGGGTGTAGTAAGGGATTGTCTCGTCAAAGGTAACGTCACGCGAGCGGTAAAAGCGGTGGTGTACTGGGAGGTAAAACAACCAGTCAGGGGTGTCAAGAGGAAAATCTAGGGATCCACAGGATAGAGTGTGGGCTGAGAGCTTGTCCGCGCCAGAGGCGTGGACGTGAGCAAGCCTACCATAGCCATGGAACGCAGAGGTGTCACCAAGGGACCTGGTCCAGAAGAGGGTCGCGAAACTTGTGGGTGCAGGGAGCATGGCCACATGTTAAGCTCGTGAGCTACGTAGCGCACTACGAATGACCATAGAAAATGGGGTGCACTGGCGTGGACCAAAGAGGTGTGAGCTATCTCCATGACCAAGCTGATGCATTGCTCAATGACCCCATCCTGCTGTGGGGAGTCCGGCAGTGTGAACGTCTGGCGGATGCCCTCCGCACAGCAGAATTGACGTAGACAACCTTAGGCAAACTTGCCTCCACGGTCAGAGTGTAGACGGACCACGGGCAGGCGGCGCTGCGTGCGGGCGGCGAGCAGCCATGGGATGAGAGCGCTAGGCACGTCGGCCTTACGCTCCAGTGGGAACACTGTGGTGAAACCCGAGAAGTCGTCAGTAACAACGAAGAGGAAGCGCTCCCTGCTCAGTCCATGGACCGGGGCAGGGCCGCAAATGTCCATGTGTAGTGGTTGTAGCGGTGCTGTGGTAGGAGAAAACGAGGAGTGAGGGGAGGCGCGCTGCCGGCCCTCGACGCAAGATGTGCACAGGGGCGCTACTGACACAGGCAGGACTGGGAACGACGCAGGGAGAACTGTGACTAAACCGTGCTGGGACATGTGCCTAAGACGTGGGAGTGCAAGTTGTCCTAAGCGATGGTGCCACAAAAGGGTCGGGTGGGCGAGGGAGCACGACGCGGCTACCTCGACGGACGCAGCAACTGACGGGGATTCTATGTGCAGAGTGAAGAGACTAGACGCTGGGTTATACTCAAAAGTGGCTAGAGGGGCACCCGTGGCTGTGTCTGTACAGGCTACGTGTCTCGCGTAGCTAGGAAAAGTGGTGGCGTCTCCTCGGTTCTGGATGTGACCTACACCAACTAGGTTTCTGACGAACGTAGGGATGTGCAGACTTGTGAGGGAGCCAGAGGGGACAGCTGGACAGGGGAGAGCGGTGGTGCTGTGTGCGACTACTTTGACTTGGGAGCCAGGTAGGGAGATACCAGTGCAGGAAGCAGGGTGAGGGCAACATTGTCTCGCAAGAAGCAGTGAGACGCGCCAGAGTCTAGTGTAAAGGAGAGGGCCGCTATAATAGGGGCAGGGAAGGAGCCTAGGGGACACATAGTAGAGGCTCCTAGACTACACACAGTAGTGGGACCTAGACCCACAAGCCCCTTGGCCCCCGGGCCTCCAGAGAAACCACGCGCGCCCTGGAGCCCCACCTCCAGGGGCTCCACCATACCTGACACACCCAAGACCCCACTTCACACACCTGCGACGCGATGGACACTTCACACTCGACAAAATAGAAAAAAACACATGTGACACGCAAACGACGACTTGACATGCGAGTTGTAAAAACTCGCTAATGTCTTGACCGACACAAACCACATTGTGATACACCATTCAAACACACACACAAACACTAGATAGCAATGACATAGACTCACTGTTGCTTTCACTCTCGTGACGTCACTTTTGACGAGTCTGTCTCCTTCTACACCCGTTTTCCCCATAGAGGTCTCCCGGTTACCCCGCCCCTGTTTCTGATTCCCACTCCCCCGGTAGCCCCTGCTCCTCTCCCTCCCCGTCCTGCCCTGTCTGGTATGTCTCATGTCACTCCCCTCCCGACGGTTGTCCCAGTAGAGGAGTCGACCGACTCTGGAGGCCCTGCGGCTCATGTTTTGCCGCCTGTCTCTGCCCCGGTGTCTCCTCCTCCGCCGCCGCAGCAGCCGTCGCCGTCACCACTGCAGCAGCAGCCGGCGTCGCAGCCGCAGCAGCAGGCGCAGTCGCAGCCGCTGCAGGCGCAGCCGCCACAGGGGTCCGCGAGCTTTGGGGGTGTGGGCGTTAAAGCGAGGGGCTAAAATAGTGAAGGCGGGTCCAACTTGAAACCAAGGGACCCTCGATTTTTTCTAAGGGGTTGTTAGCCTTACTCGGCAGAACCAGGGCAGTTCCATAACGCAGCCGCGCTGTTCAGAGCGAACAAGCGCGAGCACACGATTGGCTGGGAAATTTGTAAGACAGAGTTTGCGAGCTCTCGCAGGTCGCAGGTACTTGTGCGACCCCATTTCCTCGCCGAGGCCGCTCCCCATCTCTGTTCCATGCTGCTAGTCCCTGAGGGTGACCCAGACACCCTTGACATTCCGACCCCTTGCACTTACGCTGAGGTGACCTCGAAACCCTGGGCCTCTCAGTGGATAGCTATCATGGATGCGGAAATGACATCTTGGAGATCCGCCGGCACCTACATCGATGCAGTTCCCCCACCTAGGGTGAACTTAGTCGATGGCCGGTGGCTCTTCAAGGTGAAACGCCTTCCTCGAGAGCCGTTGGTGTTCAAGGCGCGCTATGTTGCTAGAGGCTTCAGTCAGCGCGAGGGTGTTGACTTCGTTCAGACCTTCGCCCCAACCCTGAAGATGACCACTCTTTGAGCGCTGCTACACGTAGCAGCACATCATGAATACGAGCTGCAATCCCTCGACTTCTCCACCACGTTTCTCCAGGGCAGTCTGCACGAGCAGGTCTACCTGCGCCGTCCGCCAGGCTTAAGCAGCACCTTCGCCCCTGGGATCGAGTGGCTCCTCCGGCTCCTGGTTTACGGCTTGCGGCATGCGCCTCGAGAGTGGCACGACGCGCTGCATGCTACGTTCTCTGACCTGCAGTTCTTCCCGTCCTCTGCAAACCCTTCGCTCTTCGTTCGTTCTGGCGAAACCCTGTTCTACATCCTAGTCTACGAATATACCCAGTATTCGCTACGACAGACAGAGACGCGCTAGCCTCGGTGAAGGCCGAGGTGCTGAGGAGACACACCTGCACTGACCTAGGAGAGCTCGCCGCTACCTTGGCCTGCAGATCTCTAGGGAAAGAGCAGCGCGCACCATCACTCTCACACCGTCACACTTGGTGTGCCCGGTCCTTTAGAGGTTCGGTCTTCAGTTCTCTTCCGCACAACCCACACCTGTGCCAGTAGATCACAGGCTCTCGGCTCCAGGCCCTGAGAATGCTGTAGAGCCTAGTGGTCCTTGCGCAGAGCTGGTGGATTGCCTCTTGTACCTGATGACTTGCACTCGTCCAGATCTCGCATACCCTCTCAGCATCCTGGCTCGCTTTGTGGTGACGGGACGACACCGGCCACAGCACTGGTCGGCCGCTTAGAGGGTTTTGCGTTATCTAGCAAGTACATCGTGCATGGGCTAGTGCTAGGAGGGCGCATGCTAGTGGTTCTTACAATGCACACAGACGCTTCGTGGGCGGACAATCCTGAGACACCCAGGTCGTCTTAGGGCTACTGCTTTAGCCTTGGTGCAGGCGCCATATCTTGGAGGTCCACCTGCTCATCGTTTGTTGCTCAGTCTAGCTGTGAGGTTGAGATCTACGCTGGTGCCATGGCGGCACAAGAGCTCCACTGGCTTACTTTCTTGCACACAGACTTAGGTGAGTGGCCTAGCTCTGCCCCGGTCCTATACGCTGTTAACAGGGCCATGATCCTTCTGTGTCAGGAGCCTAGTCTGGAGGGCAGAGCGAAGCACATCCAGCTGCGGTACTTCCTGCTGCGTGAGTTACAGCAGCGACGCCAGGCCTGCGTAGTTCACTGGGCCTCCGGTGCCAACACAGCTGATATCTTAACCAAGTCGCTTGCGCCTAAATTTCATCAACGGCACTGTGTACAGCTTGGTCTAGTACCTGTAGCTGCTAACTTGTTAGGACCTTATTTGTGTTCTACTATTTTTATATATTCTCCTGACTAGCCTTATGGCTTCTCTTCTAGTGGCCGGACTAGTAGCGCGCTCTGGTTTACACTTGTATAGTTTGTAATCTTATGACTGGTCTTCGGACCCTTGCCTCGAAGGTTGGACTAGTAGTGCCTCCCTGAGCTGCGTGTCTCTTGCCAGGCACTACCCCTTATCTAGCCTAGGGGGTGTGTCAACATATATTTGTATATATTTATAGACTAGATATGTGCATGCTTATAAAGGGTACACCCCCTCAGAATAAAACCACCATGTATCCCTAATTCTAGTTCATTGCGTGATTCTGATACCTTCAGCCCATCCATGGTGCACTGTTTGTAACAGCTGTGCCTGTAGGCAACCATGTTGCGACGCTTCACCTTTTGTCACAAGCAAGCACCATGCAAATTACCCTCCGAATGGCCCAAGCGCATGTTCGCCATGAATCTGGAGAAAGGACAATCTTGGCATCTTCTCGGCATGCTGGTGTGCAAGGTGGTGCTGCTGGTGGTAACTGGTGACGCATACCTAATTGTCGTGCAACCATCCCAATGCATGACAAAACCTTATTCAATAGTTTTGCACTTGACATACAGAACGAACACACCCCAGAGTGATGCAGGGAGTGCATCAAGAATGAAAAGTTGCCCTAAACCCTATGATAGTGAATAGAAAACTAATCCTTCGCATGCTGATTGAACAGAACTGGAAAGAGGTGATACAAGACCAAAGACGCAAAGCTTCATGAAAGAGGAAAATGGGAAAAAGGAGGACGAGGGGGGTGGATGGATAAGTTCGCACGAGGTATATGTGAGAGCATGTAGAGGTGCTGCACTATTTGAACTTATTTTTATGCTTCAAAAGGGGTATATCAGCTGCCTCCTACTAAAGCGGATTTTTTATTGCCAAAAGTCTCTCCTAACAGAGGATCAACGTAATTGGTCTGTAAACTTGTGGCGAGGGAAGCATCTGCTGTGACAACCGCAAGCACACTGCATTCCCACGCTACTTCCGTCACGCGTGACGTGGCATCTGACAGGTGCTGATACCGCAATCGTCACTTGTCAGTCATACTTGGCAGGTCAATCGTCGCGATTCCTTGTCTATCGCACTTTTTCTTCTCGCGAATCGCCACGTTGTCGCATCCAATCAGCGGATAAGCGTGACTGGGCCGCTGCACAACCTGGGTGGCACATCCAATCCACGCATCGCCTTCCTCCCCTGCGCTGCATCAAAATCGGATGATCCAACTCTCGCCTCGCCTCGTCGCATCTGCTCCATCCGCTTCTTTCTGCCCTCCTGCTTTCTTCTCCCTTGCACATCCTGACCTGCGAAATCACGTTTCCATGCAGTTTTGCCACTTCCAGATTGTTACAGGAAACCAGCTTGAGCCTTTGCGAGTTCTCCCAACCATATAAGCTCTCACAAGGAGTCTCCATTCCTAAAAATCGGTTTAATAGTACGCGATACAAGTCACGGATTCGATTCTAGCTTTAAACTACGGTTTGCTGCACGTATATCGCGTTTACCCCTTGAGCACAGTCATCTGATTGGGTGCACGTAGCAAGAATCGTCTGCTTCCAATTACCGACATGGCTGTTGGCGTGGAGAAAGACGCACCGCGGTTACCCAAGAAGATTATAATCGACACGGACCCAGGAATAGGTAGAGCGCGAGATGGTGACTGGTGATGTTGGGGAATGAGTCTTCTCGGGGATGCTCGGGGTGCTCCCTGGATTCACGCGTCTGCAATCTTGTCTGGCCGTGTTGACGAAGCTCTGGAGCGTGCAGCACCGCTGCCTGTTCACCGTTCAGGCGGTTCCGCGCCCATCTGCCCGCCTGTCCATCCCGGCGGAGCTACTCGCGGTGGGATGCAGCACCGCCTCGGGCAACCCCTGGCCGCCCCCTCTCGCATGCCTCGCTTGCCTCCGCTGCCCACGGCTGCCTCTCTACCCTCCCTCTTCAGACCACTCCATGCCCACTCTGCTCACCCTCCTCCCGCAGCGGAGCTCCACGTGGTTGGCACCACAGTTGTCGTCGGCAGCTGCTGTCTCCCACCCATCCACCGCCTCGCCTCCCTCCCAATCGCCCCTTCCTCCCTCCCCATCCCCAATGCCAGACGACACCATGGCCATTCTACTCGCGTTCCTGTCCCCCTTGGAGCTGGACGTGGTGGGCATCACCACGGTCTTCGGCAACGTGCGCACGCCCACCGCCACCGCCAACGCGCTCAGTCTCGTGAGTGCGCCTCCTCTCTGATTCCGCGCTCTCCTTTCGCCAGCACCCGTCGACTTCACCTTTCGCCAGCACCTGTCGACTTCACCTTTCGCCTGCACCTTTCGACTTCATCTTTCGCCTGCACCTTCTCGCCTGCACCCGTCGCCTGTGCTGGCTGGACACCAAGGGAGCTGGATTGGCACAAGAAGAGAAAGCAGAACGCGAGCTTTGACACGCTGACTGCGGCCTCGCTCACACCCCCTCCCACGCCTGCGCCACTGTGTCAAGAGCCCCGGGCAGCCGCCGCGTGGCCCCATGTTGACTCTGCATGCTCTGTGTCTTTTGAGCCGCCTCAAAAGTCATTCTCTGTGTCCAGCCCGCGCGTCCACCCATCCTCGTTCACCTGCCTCTTTTCCTGTCGCTCCCCACTGTCCCTGCTCACCTGCTGCATGCGCATCTGTCCATGTGTGCACGTGCGTGTGCACATGCGTGCGGGTGCACGTGCGGGTGCGTGTGTGTGTGTGTGTGTGTGTGTGTGAGTGCATGGGTGCGCGTGTGTGTGTATGAGTGCAGTGTGAGTTGGCAGGGAGAGAGGACGTGCCAGTGGCGCATGGAGAGGAGGTCACTCTACGGGTGAGTCGTTGACGTGATTGTATGGATGAGTGACTTCATGGGTAAGTGACTGCAGGCGAGTGATTTTACGTCGCAGTGGCTGCATGGGGGGGGTGAAGGTATTCCTTTTCTGAAAACATTCCCTTTCAGCCGTCAACTCTTTTCCGTCCCCTGCTCCTCTTCCTCCTCTCCCCCACCCCACTTCCCCCCCCCTTCCCGCTCCCCCTCCTTTCCCTCCCGCCCCGGCCCCCGCACACCCACACACCCTCTAACACATGCACATGACGTGAGTGCGAACAAACATGACTGAATCGAGCCCTCGCTTTGTTTTTCCCTGCAAATATCAATGGCATGTGCGACTTGACATGTGACACATGCCACGCGCCACCTGGCATGCGGTATGGAGTCATGGATGCATGGCATCACTTGACGGCGTCTGGCATGTAACATCTGGCATGTGTGGGTGGCATGTGTGGATGACATGTGTGGATGGCATGTGTGGATGGCATGTGTGGGTGGCATGTGTGGATGGCATGTGTTGGTGGCATGTGTGGATGGCATGTGTTGGTGGCATGTGTGGGTGGCATGTGTGGGTGGCATGTGTGGATGGCATGTGTGGGTGGCATGTGTGGATGGCATGTGTGGGTGGCATGTGTGGGTGGCATGTGTGGGTGGCATGTGTGGGTGGCATGTGTGGGTGGCATGTGTGGGTGGCATGTGTGGGTGGCATGTGTGGGTGGCATGTGTGGCTGGCATGTGTTGCTGGCATGTGTTGCTGGCATGTGTTGCTGGCATGTGTTGCTGGCATGTGTTGCTGGCATGTGTTGCTGGCATGTGTTGCTGGCATGTGGGGATGGCATGTGGGGATGGCATGTGGGGATGGCAGGGAGTGGAGAAGATCAGGGTGGCGGACTTTGTGCACGGCAGTGACGGCATGGGTAACACCAATCAGCAGCCGCCACGTGGCAAGCCCACAGGCAAGGTCGCGGCGCAGTTCCTAGTGGATGCTGTGCGGTCCTCGCCTGGCCAGATCACCGTGGTGGCGCTGGGGCCACTCACCAACGTGGCGCGGGTGAGTGGGGTGGGCGGGAGGTGGGTGGGGAGCAAGCATGCGGTGTGGCTCTAGTTCTGTATGAGGTGTCTCAGAACCAGTGGTGGGCTCTGGAACCAGCCCGGGAGGTGGCTCTGGAAGCTCTCAGCGACGTGGGTCGGGTGGGTGAGGGGATGGCACTGCGAGACCGATAAAGAGAAACAGCAAGCATATGCTGGGAATGAAAGAGCTCATCAACTCAACTCATATTCCTTTTGTTCCACTCTCAACGCAGTTATCTGCACTTCCACAGCCCTCCACTTTCCCCCTCTTCGTCTTCCCCCCTCCAACCTCGCGCTCTCAGCCCTCCATCCACCAAGCCCACTCCATGCAGTGACAAAGCAGAGAACTCTACTTGTGGGCGGGGCGTTCATCCAGCCTCAGTTTCCTATTCTTCCCAGGTCTCCCAGGCGCTGCAAACATATCCCTCCTCCCCTCGCGACGTGGCATAGATGGTCATTCTGGGCGGTTCATCCATCCAGCCTCCAGTACCCATCTTTCCCCGTGCGCCTTCCCCCCCCTCCCCCCTCACGCGCCAGGCCCTGCAGCTGGACCCGTCCTTCCCCCGCAACGTAGCGGAGATCGTCATTCTGGGCGGGGCGTTCTTCACCAACGGCAACGTCAACCCCGCTGCTGAGGCCAACGTGAGCTGGGCGATGGATGCTTCTGCACATTGTGCATGCTCTCATCCCATGGCATTCTTGACCATTGGCAATTTAAGGCCTGCGTGACATGCCAGTTCTCACTCCCTCATGGCATCTCATCACCATCTCATCACCATCCCAAGGTGCAAAAAAACGGCCGTTTTTTATGGTGGGTTTTGGTAAAAAACGACGTTTTTTTGTTAGACCTTTTTTCATGAAAAAAAATATATATATATATATATATATATATATATATATAAAGCACGCGTTAACAAGTGGCCTGATCGCTAAGGCGGCCTGCGTCATTCTACGGGGTAATTAGCGGCTTTGAAACAGGCATGTGATGTCCATGCCCCTAGTCCGTCGCCTTCTAGGCCTCATTCTGCTCCTACTCCACCATTCCCCCCGTCCTCCTCCTCCTAAGCATCATCCATCTAGTCCTCCCCCCCTAAGCGTGATTAGCTCGGCCAAAAACAATGTACACCGTATTATACGGTGGTACGAAAAAAACGGTCGTGTAAAACGGCCTTTTTTTGCACCAAACACAAAATGCAACTTTCGACCGTTTTAATCGTATTATACGACCGTTTTATACGATCCCGTTTTAGACGACCAAAAAGGGTAAAAAACGCCGTTTTTTTGCACCTTGATCACCATCCCATCACCATCTCATCACCATCTCATCACCATCTCATCACCATCTCATCACCATCTCATCACCATCCCATCACCATCTCATCACCATCTCATCACCATCTCATCACCATCTCATCACCATCTCATCACCATCCCATCACCATCTCATCACCATCTCATCACCATCTCATCACCATCTCATCACCATCCCATCACCATCTCATCACCATCTCATCACCATCTCATCACCATCCCATCACCATCTCATCACCATCTCATCACCATCTCATCACCATCTCATCACCATCCCATCACCATCTCATCACCATCTCATCACCATCCCATCACCATCTCATCACCATCTCATCACCATCCCATCACCATCTCATCACCATCTCATCACCATCCCATCACCATCTCATCACCATCCCATCACCATCTCATCACCATCTCATCACCATCCCATCACCATCTCATCACCATCTCATCACCATCCCATGACCATCCCATGACCATCTCCATACCCATCGCCGTACACCCCTGCTCAGATATTCGGCGATCCCGATGCAGCGGATGCCGTGTTCACATGCGGGGCCAAGTGCACCGTCATAGGCATCAACATCACGCACCAGGTCACGCTCTCAGGTGATTGCAACACACCAGGTCACACCCTCAGGTGATTGCAACACACCAGGTCACGCTCTCAGGGGATTGCAACACACCAGGTCACGCTCTCAGGTGATTGCAACACACCAGGTCACGCTCTCAGGTGATTGCAACACACCAGGTCACGCTCTCAGGTGATTGCAACACACCAGGTCACGCTCTCAGGTGATTGCAGCACACCAGGTCACGCTCTCAGGTGATTGCAACACACCAGGTCACGCTCTCAGGTGATTGCAACACACCAGGTCACGCCCTCAGGTGATTGCAACACACCAGGTCACGCTCTCAGGTGATTGCAGCACACCAGGTAACGCTCTCAGGTGATTGCAACACACCAGGTCACGCTCTCAGGTGATTGCAGCACACCAGGTCACGCTCTCAGGTGATTGCAACACACCAGGTCACGCTCTCAGGTGATTGCAACACACCAGGTCACGCCCTCAGGTGATTGCAACACACCAGGTCACGCCCTCAGGTGATTGCAACACACCAGGTCACGCCCTCAGGTGATTGCAACACACCAGGTCACGCTCTCAGGTGATTGCAGCACACCAGGTCACGCTCTCAGGTGATTGCAACACACCAGGTCACGCCCTCAGGTGATTGCAACACACCAGGTCACGCCCTCAGGTGATTGCAACACACCAGGTCACGCCCTCAGGTGATTGCAACACACCAGGTCACGCTCTCAGGTGATTGCAGCACACCAGGTCACGCTCTCAGGTGATTGCAACACACCAGGTCACGCTCTCAGGTGATTGCAACACACCAGGTCACACCCTCAGGTGATTGCAACACACCAGGTCACGCTCTCAGGTGATTGCAACACACCAGGTCACGCTCTCAGGTGATTGCAGCACACCAGGTCACGCTCTCAGGTGATTGCAACACACCAGGTCACGCTCTCAGGTGATTGCAACACACCAGGTCACGCCCTCAGGTGATTGCAACACACCAGGTCACGCCCTCAGGTGATTGCAACACACCAGGTCACGCCCTCAGGTGATTGCAACACACCAGGTCACGCTCTCAGGTGATTGCAGCACACCAGGTCACGCTCTCAGGTGATTGCAACACACCAGGTCACGCCCTCAGGTGATTGCAACACACCAGGTCACGCCCTCAGGTGATTGCAACACACCAGGTCACGCCCTCAGGTGATTGCAACACACCAGGTCACGCTCTCAGGTGATTGCAGCACACCAGGTCACGCTCTCAGGTGATTGCAACACACCAGGTCACGCTCTCAGGTGATTGCAACACACCAGGTCACACCCTCAGGTGATTGCAACACACCAGGTCACGCTCTCAGGTGATTGCAACACACCAGGTCACGCTCTCAGGTGATTGCAGCACACCAGGTCACGCTCTCAGGTGATTGCAACACACCAGGTCACGCTCTCAGGTGATTGCAACACACCAGGTCACACCCTCAGGTGATTGCAACACACCAGGTCACGCTCTCAGGTGATTGCAACACACCAGGTCACACCCTCAGGTGATTGCAACACACCAGGTCACGCTCTCAGGTGATTGCAACACACCAGGTCACGCTCTCAGGTGATTGCAACACACCAGGTCACACTCTCAGGTGATTGCAACACACCAGGTCACACTCTCAGGTGATTGCAGCACACCAGGTAACACTCTCAGGTGATTGCAACACGCCAGGTCACGCTCTCAGGGGATTGCAACACACCAGGTCACGCTCTCAGGTGATTGCAACACACCAGGTCACACTCTCAGGTGATTGCAGCACACCAGGTAACACTCTCAGGTGATTGCAGCACACCAGGTCACGCTCTCAGGTGATTGCAACACACCAGGTCACGCTCTCAGGTGATTGCAACACACCAGGTAACGCTCTCAGGTGATTGCAACACACCAGGTCACGCTCTCAGGTGATTGCAACAAACCAGGTCACGCTCTCAGGTGATTGCAACTCACCAGGTCACACTCTCAGGTGATTGCAACACACCAAGTCACGCTCTTTCTCAGGTGCTTGCAGCGCACCAAGACACGCTCTCAGGTGGTTCCAACAATTACCATCTCCTTCAGGTGGTTGCGAAACAGAGTGCACATGCATGTGGTTACCATGTTCAATTATGGGTTACCGTGCTCTCTCAGCCATCACCACGTATTAAAGGAATCTGGTTACCATGCCTTTAACATCACGTCTGCCCTGCGTGCGCCCAGTGAAGGACATGGAGGACATCCGAGACAGCAAGGGGCCGTTCGGGCGGTTCATCCATGAGACGTCTCAGTTCTACTACCAGTACCACAAGGAGTCGTACGGCATGGATGGTGGGATGTATGGCACGGATGGCATGCATGGCGAGATATGTGGAATGGATTATGGGTCGTACAGCATGGATGGTATGTGGAAATGGTATGGATGGTATGTGGAATGAATGGTATGTGGCATGGATGGCATGTGGCATGCGTGGTGAGTGGATTGGATGGTGAGTATATGGCATCATTTGTGGGATGGTGGAATTGTGAATCGGATGGTTATGCAGAGTCAACAAAACAACACATGGCAATAAACTATTTCCTCACATCTCTCACATGTCAAGACATCCCTGTCTTCCTGCTGCCTTTTATCTTACTCCCAATGGCCTCCCAATCCCTGTGCCAAATGTACCACGAACCCTGCAAGACGGTTAAAGACCCATCGCCCCCCATCCTCCCCCCCCTGCCCCCTCCATCCTTCCTTCGTTTCTTCTCCCCTCTCCTGTGTCATGCACAGCTGTGTGTCTGCACGCATCCCACTACCATGGTAGCACGTATGAATTTGCTGACACACCGCAATGAACCCCCTCCTCCCCCCTTCTCCTTGACATCGCCTGACCCCTTCCCTCCACTCCAATCCCCTCTCCCTCCCCCCCCTCTTCCTCCCCTCCCTCTTCCTCCCCTCCCTCTTCCTCCCCACCGTGGACGACTCATCACATCGCATGGTTAAAGCCCCATTCCCTCTCCTCCTCCCTCCCTCACCATCCTCTCTCCTCTGCTTGCCCCTCCCCCCCCCCGGTACAGCGGTGTACCTGCACGACCCCACCACGATGGTGGCGGCCATGGACGACTCGCTCTTCACCTTCCACGAGGGCGTGGTGCGCGTGCAGCTCGACGGCATCGCGAAGGGCCTCACTCTGCTAAACAGTACCAACAAAGTGTGAGTGTAATGCGGGACGGTCGTGCTGTGATGGGCGGGGGCGAGGGTGACGTGGTAGCGGACGAGTTCGAGGTCGTTGATACCATCCCGTGCACAGCGAATAGAGGAGTGCAAGAGAAGGGTACTTAAGGAATCATGCCACAGAAGCAAAGACAAAAAACCCACAAAGGGGCGCTCCGAGAATCGAACTCGGGACCTCTCGCACCCGAAGCGAGAATCATACCACTAGACCAAGCACCCACGTGTAAAACCTGATATTGCATAATTTTGTCAGCACATAATTTTTCACCATCGTCAGAGTGCTACCAAACCATGATATCACCCCGCGCATCTCCATGCGCCAATCCTTTTTCCTGATTGCCCCTACCATTCCTGTGATTTCCCTTGCCCCATGATGCCCGTCCCATCGAGTTGGAATGCCCCCACCACAGCCAGTATGGATCATCATCATGCCCTTTCTCCCCATCCCTCCTCTCCCCTCGCATCATTAGAACATCGAAATAATATGGTGTGGTGTGGTCGTCCACCACCCGCCAGCATGCGCCCAGATTCTCCCTTCACTTCACCACCTCCCTATACTCAACCTCTCCTCCTCCGCCTCCCCCCCTCCCAGATGGAACGTGCCTACAGCATGGTGTGGGCTGCCCCCGGTGCGCGTGGCGGTGACGGTGGACGCCGACGCCATCTCCGCCCTCGTCAAGCAACGCCTCTCCACCCCTCCCCCTTCCAAAGCACATCGCGACCCAGCCGTCTAAACCACTCTCTCAGAGTAGCGAAATAATCTAGAATGAAGGGTACACGATAGTTTTTGTCAAACATGTGTATTTGTCATGTTTGTATAGACTGTATAGGGTCGCCTCTTAGTGAGTACAACACTTAGGTATATCTTTGTGTACTCTCACTCTATCCATTATTCAATTTTCAATTCTGATATGGTATCACGCGTAGGTAGGATCCCCCCCCCCACCTATCGCTTCCGCTCACCCCGCTAGCCCCTAGCCCAGTCGCGACCCCCCCTAGCCCCGTCGCGCCCCTCACTGGGCCCTGTCGCGCCCCTCCCAGGCCCCCTGGCGCCCCTCCTGGGCTTCGTAGCGCCCCTCCTGGGCCCCGTAGCGCCCCTCCCAGGCCCCGTCGCGCCCCTCCCAAGCCCCATCGCGCCCCTCCCAGGCCCCCTAGCGCCCATCCTGGGCCCCGTTGCGCTCCTCCCAGGCCCCGTAGCGCCCCTCCTGGGCCCCGTCGCGCCCCTCCCAGGCCCCCTGGCGCCCCTCCTGGGCTTCGTAGCGCCCCTCCTGGGCCCCGTAGCGCCCCTCCCAGGCCCCGTCGCGCCCCTCCCAGGCCCCGTCGCGCCCCTCCCAGGCCCCCTAGCGCCCCTCCTGGGCCCCGTCGCGCTCCTCCCAGGCCCCGTAGCGCCCCTCCTGGGCCCCGTAGCGCCCCTCCTGGGCCTCGTCGCGCTCCTCCCAGGCCCCGTCGCGCCCCTCCCAGGCTCCGTAGCGCCCCTACTGGGCCCCGTCGCGCCCCTTCTGGGCCCGTAGCGCCCCTCCCAGGCCCCGTTGCGCCCCTCCCAGCCCCCCTAGCGCCCCTCCTGGGCCCCGTCGCGCTCCTCCCAGGCCCCGTAGCGCCCCTCCTGGGCCCCGTAGCGCCCCTCCTGGGCCTCGTCGCGCTCCTCCCAGGCCTCGTCGCGCCCCTCCCAGGCTCCTTAGCGCCCCTACTGGGCCCCGTCGCGCCCCTCCTGGGCCCCGTAGCGCCCCTCCTAGGCCCCGTCGCGCCCTCCCTGGGCCCTGTACCGCCCCTCCTGGGCCCCGTCGCGCCCCTCCCAGGCCCCGTCGCGCCCCTCCTAGGCCCCTTAGCACCCCTCCTGGGCCTCGTCGCGCCCCTCCTGGGCTTCGTAGCGCCCCTCCTGGGCCCCGTTGCGCCCCTCCTGGGCCCCTGTAGCGCCTCTCCTGGGCCCCCCGTCGTGCCCCTCCTGGGCCCCGTGGCGCCCCTCCTGGGCCGCGTCGTACCCCCCCCCGGTCCCGTCGCCCCTGCCCGACCCCGTCGCAGCCGCCCGGCCCCGTTGCGCCCGCCCGGCGCCGTCGCACCCGCCCGGCCCCGTCGCGCCCGCCCGGCCCCGTCGCAGCCGCCTAGCCCCGTCGCACCCTGCCCGGCCCCGTCGCAGCCGCCCGGCCCCGTCGCACCCGCCCGGCCCCGTCGCACCCTGCCCGGCCCCGTCGCAGCCGCCCGGCCCCGTCGCACCCGCCCGGCCGCCGTCCCGCTCGCCCGGCCCCGTCGCACCGGCCCGGCCCTGCCGCACCCGCCCGGCCTCGTCGCCCCAGCCCGGCCCCGTCGCGCCCGCTCGGCCCCGTCGCCCCGTCCCGGCCCTGTCGCACCAGCCCGGCCCCGTCGCGCCCGCCTGGCCCCGTCGGACCAGCTCCGGCCCCGTCCTCCTCACTGGTACGGTTCCCCCCCACCCCGCCCTGCTCCGTGCCGCCTCGCATCACACTGTACTGCCTGGCACCGCACTACACCGCACTGCACCGCACTGTACCGCACTGCACCGCACTGTACCGCACTGCACCGCACTGCACCGCACTGTACCGCACTGTACCGCACTGCACCGCACCCCACCTAGCTGCACTGCCCTGCACCGCACTGGACTGTTCCTGATGGCGGCGGAGCTTCGCTTCGACGCTGAAGGTCAGCCCCTAGAGGTCGAGGCGTGGCTTGCCGACCTCCGCCGCCAACTCACTGGCCAGCGGCAGGATGGTGAACCGCTTTCCGCACACCTTGACGGTACGCTCTCCTGCCCAGACCCCCCTGCTATTCTGCCCGTTGACCCCACACCCACTGAGCGTGAGTCTACTGCTGCCACTGCCCGTGCGCGCTCTGTCTGGCTTTCTCGCGATGCTGTCGCCCAGCTTGCCATTAGCAACGCCCTTCCCCCGTCCGAGCGCCCTCGCTTTAGGTCCCTCACTACTGCTCAGGCATACTTAGATGCTGTGATCAAGCGCTATTCCACCCCTCCGGCTGCCTCGGTGGGTCGCCTGATCCTCCCGATGCTCTTTCCTGACCTTGCATCTTTCCCCACTGTCTTTGACCTCGCTACCCACCTGCGCTCGATAGAGGAGACCTGGCGCGCCGCCTGCACTGACGCACAGCTTAGAGCCCACCAGCCGCCCATTACCTCTACCCTCTACCTGCTTGCCACCCGCCTCCCTGACCGCCTTGCTGTCGCCCGCGACCATTTCCTTAGCATTCACCCCGCCGATCTCACCCTCACTGACTTTGTAGACACCCTGACTGTGATAGAGACCCGTCACCGCTCCATCGCCCAGGCGAGCGGTGTCGTGCCGGTCTTTATCTTTCAGGGTTGTGCCCCCGCCCAGTGTACCTTCTCCGACGGCTCTGTTGCAGTGGCTGAGACCGCTGCTGCAGCGCAGTCTCGTTCGGGGAAGGGCCGCCGCCCCAAGGTTGGGCGCGGCGGAGGCGGGGGTGCGGGAGGGGGTAGGGGTGGGGTCGGGTCGTCTGGTGCTGGAGCGGACGAGGGGACCCTGCCCAGTCCGGCTGAGCTGCCGCCCCTGCAGTTGCAGCAGCCGCAGCAGCCGCCGCAGTCGCAGCCTTCGCCGCAGCCGCATCAGCCGTCGCAGACGCGGCAGACGAGTGTCCTCCTGCCCGGGTGGCCCGGCGCTGGCGGTGGCCGGGCACGTGTGCCGAGTGGTGGCTCTGGCGGCGGTACTTCCTCCTGCGTGAGCTACAGCAGCGACGTCAGGCTCGCGTAGTACACTTGGCCTCATGTGCCAACACGGCTGATATCTTTACGAAGGCGCTTGCGCCTAAAGATCATCAGCGGCACTGCGTACAGCTTGGTCTAGTTCCTGTAGCCTCTCACTTTCTAGGACCTTGACTTTGTACTGTCCTTTATACGTATACTCAGACTGGACTTGTGTCCTCTCGCAGTGGCTGGACTAGTAGTGCCGCCCTGCCCTTGTTCTTGCCTTGTTTGTACTCCTTCTGACTGGTCTCTTAGACTCTTGTCTCAGAGGTTGGACTAGTAGTGCCGCCCTGAGCTGTTTGTTTAGGGCATTCCCCTATGCAGTCTAGGGGGTGTGTCAAACATGTGTATTTGTCATGTTTGTATAGACTGTATAGGGTCGCCTCTTAGAGAGTACAACACTTAGGTATATCTTTGTGTACTCTCACTCTATCCATTATTCAATTTTCAATTCTGATATTGAGTTGAGTGACCCGCTGGGGTTGCCCTTGAGATCCTCGGGGAAGGGCCACAGGTGCAGAGCCTGGGGGGCTATGGGCGCACTTACCCGCTATTCAACAAGCCCTTTTAACCCAGTGGTTAGTGACTGGGTTTCTGAAATGGTACATCAGAGCCAAAGGTCTTGAGTTCAACTCCCAGTGCCAGCGCTGCAGAGGCGCTTGTGTCTTCCACCTATCCCAGCGGGGGGGGGTGTGTTGAGTGACCCGCTGGGGTTGCCCTTAAGATCCTCGGGGAAGGGCCACAGGTGCAGAGCCTGGGGGGCTATGGGCGCACTTATCCGCTATTCAACAAGCCCTTTTAACCCAGTGGTTAGTGACTGGGTTTCTGAAAGTTTTGACCTAATGTGTTGAACTCGCTAAGGCATGCCCCTATCTAGTCGACAGCAACATATACAAATATGTTTGACACAACCCCTAAACAGGACAAGGGGCAGTGCCTGGCAAAAGACAAGCAACTCAGGGCGGCACTACTAGTCCAACCTTTGAGAAAAGGGGCCGAAGACTAGTCAACAAGAGTACAAACTCGACAAGAGCAAACCAGGGCGGCACTACTAGTCCGGCCACTAGAACAGCAGCCACAAGGCCAGTCAAAAAGGTATATATAAAGAGGAGTACACAATCAAGGTCCTAGCAAGTGAGGAGCTACAGGAACTAGAACAAGCTGCAAACAAAACTGCTGATGATCTTTACGCGCAAGTGCCTTAGTAAAGAAATCAGCTGTGTTGGCACCGGAGGCCAAGTGTACTACGCGGGCCAGGCGGCGCTGCTGTAGCTCGGCCATGTTGTCAGCGTACAGGACTGGGGCAGAGCTGGGCCGCTCACCTAAGTCGATGAGCAAGAACGTCAGCTAGTAGAGGTCCTGTGCTGCTATGGCACCAGTGTAGATCTCACCCTCACATCTAGACTGGGAAACAGACGACAAGCGAGTGGACCTCCATGAGATCGCACCTGAACCACGGCTAAAGAGGTAGCCCTTAAAGGACCTGAATGTCTCAGCGTCGTCTGCCTACGAAATATCCGTGTGCCTAGTAAGGACCACTGGCCTGCGTCCTCCTAGCACGAGTCCAATGCCCTATCTACTTGTTAGATAACGCAAAATCCTCTTTGCTGCCGACCAGTGCTGTGGTCGGTGTCTCCCAATGGCCACAAAGCGTGCTAGGATGCTGAGAGGGTATGCGAGATCTGGACGAGTGCAAGTCATCAGGTACATGAGGCAACCCACCAGCTCTGCTTAAGGACCACTGGGCTCTACTGACTCTTCAGAGACAAGAGCCGAGAGCCTGTGATCTACTGGCAGATGTGTGGGCTGTGCAGAGGAGAACTGAAGACCGAACCTCTGAAGTGTTGTGGTAAATGAAATTTTGCATTCCTGCAAGTTCCGTTTTTAGTGTAGCTCGCAGTATCGAGTTTCTCAGTAAGTGATCATGCCCGAGTGCTGATGTCAGCAAAGCATCACGGGTCTCGGCATGACGTCAGCATACCGCTTCAGTTACGCGATTATGCGTAACGAGTCGTTTCAGTCACGCGAACAGTCGCGACCCTATAGAATGATGAATAGGTCGCATAGCGCGCAATTAGCCGAACAGGTACTTTCCCTAGAGCTATAAATCCTTGTAATGCCTTTCTATTATTAACCTTGACTTTCCACAGAATTATGTGCTCAGGTTATTCAA